CATGAGGGCACAGGAAAAGGCCTGTGCCTCCCAAAGTCTCGTTGATCACCAGCCACCAGAGGGCATTGCTGTGATCAGACGCTGCGTGCTGAGGCTCCAGCACACCCCTGATGACTGTTCCCCTGCAGCTGCACTGGCCCTCTGTGTCCCACCCTCCCATCACCACACTGGAGATGACTCAAGAGAGCCCGCTCCTCCTTAAATGCCACCCACATGGCAGCCACAGTGCCAGGAATGCCCCATTTAGTACATTCCCTCCTCTAAAGCAGGTCTCTGTATCTTCGGGACCCAGCCCACTTGCCTGTCCAGCCCACCTTCGATTTTGGAGCCCTTTGGCCTGCCATGCTGGTCAGTGCCTTTCCCTACACATGATGTGCACCTCCCCCCAATACACCCCCTTTGCCAGGCTGTCCCCTCTGCCTGGAATGCCCTTCCTGCCTAATCTTTGAGTGTTTGGTTCTTGTGTTTCTCAAGGCTTAGCTCAGATGCTACCTCCACCAGGCAGCTTGCCTGGACTTCTCCTCTGAGCCACCTTGACCCTTGGCCCCTCTGTTGTTTGGGCTCCTGTAATCCTCTTTGAGTATAATCCCTTCTGCGAGAGACACGGGTGTTCCGACATCATGTATGATGTTCTTATCACAGAGTAGGTCCTGTGTGAACAGCAGCTTGGGAACCCCCACCCCACAGCCCTTCTGTCCTTCCCGCATCGTGTGCGTGAGTGGGCTGGTGAGAGCACCTCCGTGTGTGCGTTTCTCAGGAGGCTCTGGATGCGGGCCTTGTGTGGATGGCACCAGGAGGGCCTGGGTTCCCATCCCAGCTCACCCCTCACACTGTGTGACTAAGAGCAAGTGGTTGTACCTCTCTGGACCCCATTTCCGCATCTCTGAAGTGGGGATGTTGTGAGGATGAAATGAGAAAATAGATGTAGAATGCTGAAAACAAAGCTTGGCCCAGTTTCTGCTCCACCTGGTCCTGAAGAGCCATCAGCTGGGTTCCTCCTGATCCGGACCTTCCTCCCCCCTGGTCTGTGCACGCAGACTGCCAGGCTGGCTCTCGCAGTCACCTGAGACCCCTTGCCCTTGCATACCCCTTGCCCCCCAGGGCTGGAGGAAGGCTTCGGTGAGGAGCGCTGGGAACCGGCAGGTGTCAGTCTGCAGCCACAGCCTGGGAGTGGCCCATGGGTGGGCATTACCCCTGAGGCACAGCTCAGACTGCCCTGAAGTCAGCTGGGGGGCACTGGAGGTGGGGGAGATGTCGGGCAACTTGGTCGAAGTGGGGGCCACAGCTAAACAGCACCCCTTATAAGGGAGTCACCTCGTGCCCCTCACCTGCCGCTGGTGGGATCACAGACTGGGTCCCGGTTTCTCCATTGGTAAAATGGGGACGGTAATGCCCACCTCATAGAAAAGTTTAACCACCAGGCTGGGAAGCCGTTGTCCTGGCCTGACCTCCTGGGCGGTGTGAGGAGAGAGGGAGGAAGAAGCAACTGAACAGCAATAAAGGGTTTATCTCTCTTCCTCAATCCACCATCTCTGCACCCAGACTTCATTTCCGGCTGTCACTCAGGACCCTGTTGGGCTCAGGACACGGCTTGATTGTGATGGACTTGATTGTGTGGTTGTGATGGGCCCGGCCCTGGGGCCTGAGAGGAAGGAAAGGCTGGGGCCCAGGGCCCCCTGCTCTGCACTGGGGAGGGGGCCCTCTCTGGGTCTCGGTTTTCCCATCTGTGCAGCGTGGCGTAGTTTGGTTCCTAATTGCAGTGGTCGCTGCCCATGAGTGTGCAAGGGTCAGGGACGCCAGGGGTCCTTCAGTATGGAGGACAGCCCAGCACAGCAGAGAATGTCCCAACAGTGGTGCCAACAGTGCCCCATTAAGAGACACCAAGAAGGGCTGCAGGCCTGGCCCCGTGCAGGGAAGAGGTCATGAGTGTGTGTTGGACAGTCACCGGCTGCAGAGCCCTCCCAAGGTCTCTGCCCTCCTCCTCCTGGGTGGGGAAGTAGAAGCCCAGACAGAGTGACTCCCCCCGAATCACACAGCTGGCAGGGCTGGGATTTGAACGTGGGCGCTCCTGACCTTCAAGTTCTGCCTCTCTGGTCTCTTTCTCAGGGTTGGTATGACATTCATGGCAGGAAAGTAGATGGGCGAACGCTTTCTGATTCATTAATATGTGGTCTCCCCAACTCCAGGGGCTGGGTGCTTTTATTATTCCCATTCTGCAGGTGAGGAAATGATGGCCAGAGAGGTTTAGGCACGCGCCCCAGGTCACACAGCAATCCATCCTCCAACGTCTTACAAAACCTGAGGATGCAAAGGTGGCAGGGCCTTTCCTGACCAGGGGGCTGCTGCCCACCAGCTCAGTGGCCCTGCCAGTTCCCCTAGGGTTCCCAGTGCCCCTCACGGGCCATCCATTGCATCTGTGCTGGCCACCTGGGCACCTAGCAGGCCTGGCTTTCAGCTACTGCACACGCCCAGCAGTCGCGCTCCCCCCCCACCCCCACCCCTTTCCTCTGCTTCCTCGAGGTTTGGCAGCCTTGGAGGAGAGGGGTCATCTTTGGAGCAGGGCAGTAGCTCCTCCTGCTCTTAGGCCAACTCCCAGGGCAGATCGTCCCCTTCTACCTTGGCTGAGTTTGATGTCTGAGGACCTTGCAGAGCCTTCTCGCCCCCCTTACTCTACAACCATCTGTGGCTCCCATTGTCTGCAGAAGGAAAGCCAAACTCCTAATGCTGTGCTTTGCAACTTCGCCTGCATCCCCTGGGACCTTGTTAAATTCCGGTGGGGCCTGAGTATTACTGACCAGCTCTGTGATGCCCATACAAGAGGCAACTGATTGATGTTTCTATCTCTCTCCCTCCCTTCCTCTCTAAAAATCAATAAACGTATCTTCGGGTGAGGATTAAAAAAACAACAACAGACCTCTTAGCTGTGAAGCTGGCTCCACCCTTACAGCTGGATACCTTGGGCAAGTTACTTAACCTTTCTGGACTGATTGTTTACTTAAACCCTGCCTTGTGTCAAAATGGACCAACAGTTGCTTCCAAACATACTCTTGGATAAAATCAAAAGCCAGTGTGCTCGATGGGCTGATGGGGACAGAGGGCAGAGGGCAGACCCTGTTTCCCACCGTCTCCTGGGGTTTCAGCCCCCGGTGTGGGCACAGCGGGCACTCAGAGAAACGCTGAAAGGAAGCTCTCCCACAACCCACGGCATGACCTTTCCAGGAGCTTCTCATCCTCAAAAGTAAATTCCAAAGGAGCAGTGAGAAAGACAAACATGGCGAGATTTCCGACAGCCCATCTTAATAGCTCATTTAAATGCATCTGTACCGCAAGCAAATATTTTCTTAAGGGAGGGGGTGGATGTACCTCTCAGTCTTGTGCGCGCCATGAAGCCCTCCACCCTGAAGGACTGTAAGCCGGGGGGGGGGGGGGGGGGGAGGCAGATGTCTGTTAGAGCAATTTACTTGCCGAAAGGCTTCATCCCTTCCTTCCTGGCATGGAGCTGGGACTGCCCCCAAGTGGCCCTTGGTACCTGGGGATGGTCAGGGTCTTCATCGAGAGCCTTATGCTGACCATCGCCTGGCACCGTGACCCACATCCAGAGCCTGCATCCCCTTCTCTGCCTGGGCCAACTACAGGTCCTTCCTCTCTGACCCTCCTACCACACCTCCCATGGCTGGCTGAGGTCTTGGACTTCCTCTTTGAACTTTGGCCTCACTGCTGGCCCAAGGGAACCTCGCCTGGAACTTGGACCCTGCCTGCTAAGACCTGACTGCAGTCACCCAAAGAGGGAGTAGCCCTAGGCAGAAGGCAGCAATGGAGGACCACAAACCTATGGACACAGGGGTACAAGTGGCCCCACCCCAGATTTAGATTCTGGACTGTTTTGGAGGTGCCATTAGTGTTGGGGTGGTAGGAGCCAGAGTGGGTGGCTCAGGAATTCTGTTTGGATTTTGTGGTGGGAACCCCTGGTCAGGAGAGAACCCAGAAGAAACCTCCTGTCGCTAACCACTTGGCAGCACGCTCCCATTTGCTGCGAGACCTGCTTGTTCCCATGTATCCAGGAACCCCACGGGGGCCGGGACCTCGTCTGCCTCCCTCTCTGCTGCATGTAACTGGATGCACCGTGTAGTCGCAGGCTTTGACACCTCATGCCACCATCACCGAAGTACCTATGTGGTGTCCCCTCTGTGGGTGCCAGCACACATGGGTGGGCTGGGAGCAGGAGCAGCTGAGACCTGGAGCAGGGAGTCCATCAGGGCCGCCAGGGTCAGTCCCGAGCTGGCATGGAGGGAGCTAGGAGTGTGCAGGGCTGAGGCCCAGCTGGGGCTGGAGTTGTGACCAGCTGCTCCTGCCTATCAAGCCCAGAGCGGATCCTCAGCCCAGCTCGCTCGGTCTTCCCAGAAAGCTAGGGGTGGGGGGTGCTCCCTGGGGCAGGCTGCTGGGCTCGCCTTCCCCAGGCTCCTCCTTATAGAAAGGGAAACTGAGGTTGGGGGAAAGTAGTTACATCTGCCTAGAATGTCAGTGGAAGGGCCCCAGGGGGCTCCAAGTGCAAGAGTTTCCAACTTGAGACCTACAGACGTGCCCTGGCATTATCCATTGGCTGCACTGGTTTATGTCTTGGGATTCTGTTGGAATCTGCTCTTTAAAGAAAATTTGAAAGGCACTGTTCCCCCTCTCTGGATGGGAAAACTGAGGCCTGGTAAGGGCAATCGCTTGCCAAAGTCCCAGGGCAAGTTAGGAGCTGAGCTGGACCCTGAGTCTATCTGCCTGAGGGCTCTGGGGGAGACCCCATGCATGCCATCTTCCAAGATCTCCTGCCCAGGCTATGGGAGTGAGGGTGTCGAACCCCATCCAGGAGCCAGACATGACAGCAGCATGTCCCCTTTAAGCAGAGAGCCGCCTGCTGCAGTGGGTGGACTCAGCGCCCAGCCAGTGGGAGCTGGGAGCTTCCCTCCCACGGCCCCTCCCTGGTGAGGGTGTGGGAGGGGCAGAGCAGCGTGGCTCCCCAGGGAGTCAGTGGGCAGCAGGGACAATAGCAGACATGCTGTGTGGGCTCAACCGGGAGACCCCTGAAGAGGCCGGTAAGTAATGGGGGGCCTGTAGGCAGAGTGGTGGGGCTGGTTCCTCAAACTGCTGTCCGATGGGGGACTGGGATGGCTAAGAGTGGGACTGCCACTCCCCAGAGACCCAGGGCTTGGAGAGAGTGCAGGGAGCGGGACACCATAGGTTGCAAACTCAGATGCCCACAGGGGCACCTGGCCGGGGTGAGCAGGTGACAGGGCTGTCTGTCTGACCCCGATGCTGTCCTGCAGCAAGGGGCCGAGTCCCCTGGGCTGTCCAGAGGGCAGTGCTCAGCCCCTCAGGGGTGCCTCGGAGATGGCACCCACCTCGGCATGAGCGGGCAGGAGGGAGCTCCCTCCCAGAGGTGTGGGAGCAAAGGTGTGGTGTGGAGGGAGCTCCTGGACCTTGTAGCGGGAGGGAGAAGCCCTGGCTGGGGTCTGGTTGCTGAGCCCTGGGGCTCTGGGGGTGCAGTGGGGAGGGAGGGTGGCACACAGCTGCCACATTCCTGGGTGGCCAGGACTGGGACTCAGGGAAGGGCTCTGGGGCGGGCGTAGTTGCTCCATCCATCTGTCCATCTGTCTCCTAGCCTGCCAGGCTGGCCTTACTTCTCCCCATACTCCCCAACAGGGAGCCTGGCCGGAGCCAGGACCCAGTCCTTCACTCTGTGCCCTGGGGCCGCCCTTGTCAACCCCTCCCCACACTCGATATACTCTTGACTTTCCCGCCTGGCAACAACTCCTAAGGGAGGGACTGTGGGCAGGAGAGAAACAGGGGCACAAACCTGGTGGTCTTCCGAAGGCCCTACAACTATGACACAGTGACTGACTTGGGATTGGCACGCACACGAGGACAGCCGGGCTCTCCACCAATGAACTTGGGCTCCCACCTCCCCACCCATGGCAAGGGGCAGAGGCAGGGTTACCCTCAGACGCCGCATAATAATAATGCAAACAATAGCTGACAGCTATTGAGATCTGACTCTGTGCCAGATCTTACTCTAACCTAAGCTCTCTGTGCGTTTTCTCATTTAATCCTCACAACAACACTGAGTTCAGGACCATTCTCCCCACTTTACAGTTGGGGAAACTGAGGCATGGAGATGTTACGTGACTTATCCAAGACTACCCAGCCAGAAGTGGCAAAGCTGGGATTCCACCCCAGGCGGTCTGCTCCTGCCCCCTCCTGGCGACTGCACTATAGATGGAGACACTGCTTTCCTGGCCTGGGCATCTGTGTCCTCTTGACCTAAGGCCCACATGAGTGGGGTCACCTCGTCCTGCAGTGGTCAGAGCCACACGGGCAGTGGTGCCCAGAGACCTCACCTGGGGCATTGGCAGGGAGGTGTCTTCCCCTGCTATTGGGCCTCTGACTCCATCCCGGCTTAGGCTTCAGCATCGCCTGCCTGGTCCTTTGCCCAGTCTCCTCCCTGGCTTCCTGGTCTCCTCCTCCTCCTCCTCCTCTTCCTCATCCTCCTCCTCTTCCTCCTCCTCCTCCTCCTCCTCCTCCTCCTCCTCCTCCTCCTCCCCTTCATCCTCCTCTCCCAGTGCTCCTTTTGGGAGCTTACTAAAATGTAAATCTGATTACACCTCCTTATCCTGGCCTTCAAGGCCCTTCATGATCTCCCTGACTTTTTCTCTCCCTGGTGACTTACTTGACCCCCACCCTCCTACCGCAGCCCCCACCTACTTTCCTCCCCAGGTCACAGAACCTCATGGTCACAGCTGCCAGCGCTCTTTTTAAGAAAAATCCAAAGATGGTGCTTCAGGCATAGCTGGATCCAGGTGCTCACTTAACACTGTTAGGTTTAGGCTTCTTTTTAGGCGCGTTTCATTTCAGGCAGACATTTTCTTCTCCAGAGGGCCCCTCGGACTTTCAAGCTTAAGGTTACCTAGTTCAGGTCTCCCTAAGGAAGGACCATTCCTAGCAGTTTCAGCAGATGCCCCAGGGCCTGCTCTTGTTGGCCCAGCTTGGGTCACATGCCCTCTCCTGACCACTCACCGGATCTCTGATTGGCCAGGCCTGGTTATGTGGCCTCCCCAGGAGCAGAGGGGCAGGGCAGCAACGGGTGGCCACTCCATCTGCACTCCACATTCTGCAGAGAAGGCTGAGCCCTGAGCAGTCAGCCACTTACCGTGCTTTTCCATGAGCACCAGGCCTGGGACGCGCTGCCCAGTGCCCTTTCTCTGCCCCAAAGGACTCCTGCTTGCTGAGCCCTTTCCAGGCCTGTCCTCTGGCCATATTCAGTCTTGCTCCTGGGAGCCTTGTTTACCCTCCACTAACCCAAGCCCTTGAGGAAAGGCTGTGAGCAGGGCTGGGACACACATGGACACAGACTCCGGCAGTAACTTCCTCCCTCACTCCCCACCCTGTGTCCAGTGTTCACTCTTTTCTGACTCCAGGCCACAAAGTGGTCTTTGTTCCTCAGCACTTGCCACCCAGGAAGGCTAGGGCAGTGTGTGTGTGTGTGTGTGTGTGTGTGTGTGTGTGTGTGTGTGGAGTCCCTGGTCTTCGGCCTGGGCTTCCCACTCCTCTGAGGGGACTCTCACCAGGCCACCTGGATCCCTGCACAGGCCCAACCTCCTGCACCACAGCAGGGGCTGTAGCCCTGGGGGACCCCAGGCTCCAGACTATGGAGGCCACAGAGGCCAAGGAGGCCACGGCAGCCATGGCTTAGAGTCCGGGAGGCCTGGGTTTGCATCCTGGGTCTGCCTCTTCTTGATTTTATGATCCTGAACAACTCATGCTATCTCTTTGATTCCCATACTCCTAATCTGCAGGTGAAATCTAATTCAATGTTATTTGCTGAGCCCTTACTGTATGCAGGCTTTCTGTGCTGGACATAGCAGGGAACGGGCAGACAACATCCCAGCTGATATCCTAGTGGGGCAGGGGCAGATAGTTAATAAGATCACAAAGTTTTTAAAAAAAGTCAGGCCTGTTAGATGGCGTTGAATGCTCTAAGGATAAATCAAGCAGAGTAGGAAGGTGATGGGAGGTATTGGAGGCATGGGGAGTGCAGGTGTAAGTTCAACAGACTGGTTGGGAAAGACCTCCCTGAGAAGGTGACAAGTTCCTGAAGGAGGTGAGGGAGGCAGCTTTGTGGATGTCTGAGGAAGAACATCCCGAGCAGAAGGGATAGCCAGTGCAAAGGCCCTGGGGTGGGCATGCGTCTGGTGTTGAGAATAGCGAGCAGACCTGGCAAAGGGGAGATCTTTAGGAGGCCAGGGAACCTGAGGGACTGGGATGACAATTTTGCTTTTACTCTCAACAGGATGAATTGAGTTTTTTTACTGCTCCGATCAGCCACTGGTGGGAAATAAAATGGTTCCATGGTGACTCAGTTTTGAGGTCATGTTCCTTGATGTTGCTGGTTTCAGAGTTAGACAGGAGAGCACAGACTCAGAAGGCAGAAAGCCAAGGCCTGACTTGAGCCTGCACCCCATCCCACATGATGTTGGGGCCACCAGGAGTGTGACTTCAGGCCCAGTGCCAGGCGCTTCCCACACTTTGTGGGAGCTCTCCCAGTCATGCTCATGGCTCCTGGGAGCCCTGACGTGCCTAGCCTGTGGATGCCTGAGCTCTGTCCCCGGGGTGGGAGGCAGGAGCAGTGAGGGTTCCTGGAGGCCAGCACTGCCTCTAGGGTGCCCCTTATTGGGAGAGGGAGAGAGCAGAGCTGAGGGTTAAGGATGTGGCCTGTTGAGGGGCCCAACAGGCCCGTAGACCAGTCCTTCCTCTGCAGCCACCAGCTGAGTGACCTCTCTGGGCCTCTGTCTCCTCATCTGTACATTGGGGACCATCAGATGGTTCTCAGTGGAGTTAAACTCGTTCAGGGCAGAAGAAGTGCTTAGAGCAGGCCTGGCACAGGGGAGGGCTCCACAGCCGGTGCCCCTTTTCTGTTCCTTTTCTCTTACAATCCTTGGTACCAAGTGAATCAGGAGTCTACTTTTTAAATTAATTGACGTTTTTCCTTCTTGTTTCCCTTAAAAGCGTGCATACAACAGAAAGAGCGAAGCGTTGATCTTTCCATGCTTCCCTCCCACGGGAAGCTGGCTTCTGGGGAGGCTGGTCAGCTGTGAGGGTAAGGCTGTCACTTGGAGCAGAATCAGCTTCGATGCGTCTCCATCCAGCTGTCTGCCCTGGTCCAGCTGTGATGGCCAGAGGGACATTATTTGTGAAGAGTTCCCAAAGGAGCTGGGGCTGGGCCATGGGCATTGTCCCTGAGTCTGCCCAGGTCTGTCATGGGATGGGAGGTGGAGCCGGGAGGGGGCCTCTGGCTCTGCCGCTGAGGAGCTTAGGAGCTGGGTGAACCTGGGCATGTAAACCTGCCTGTGCCTCAGTGTCCTCATTTCTAACATCGGGATGATAATGGTACCTACCACATAAAGTGGTGATAATTTTAAAGTTCTTAGAACACGGCCAAGGGTCAAATCTTGGCCCTGCTCCTTATGGTAGGAAGTTACTTAAGCCTCTCTGTGCCTCAATTTTCCCATCTTTCAAATGGGAATAACAATCATACCACCTCAGAAAGTGGTGAGGATTAAATGGGATAATGCTTATGAAGCACATAGCACCATGCCCAGCATTTAATCGATAGGCGTTGTTACCATTATTGAGCTAGGAAAACCTTTCTAATGAAGGGAACAAAGCGGGCAAAGGGAGAACTGTCATGGTTCATGATTTCTCGGTACCGTACAGTCTCATTGATTCCTCCTACCAACCCATGATGTGGGCACTGCACCCCCACTGTGCAGAGATGTCCAACGGTCGGAGAGAAGTGACTTGACCCAGAGCCATTAGTTGGCAGCAGATGTGGAATCAGAATCTGAAGTTGGCCTAAGTCCAAAGTCCATCCTTTCTTTTCCAGCAAACCAGCAACGCCTTCAAAGGTGGGGTCAACCAAGCCAGGAGTGGCCGAGCATGTGGAATGCTGTAGCAGGTTCCCCTGGAGAGTCAGCAAGCGGCCACCACGTACAATTGATGGTTGGACCCAGGGGCGAGTGGGGGGCCCTCTGCTCGCCATCAGCACGGGGGGGGGGGGGGGGGGCTGGCCGTGCAGGTGGCTCGGTATCATGCTGTCATTTCCTGTTCGTCCCAAGTTGAGCCTCTCTGGGCATCCATTTTCTCAGGGGTCCCCCTTTCAGATGTGAGCGGGTCTTCCTGGAGGCCCACAGAGTAGCATCAGTCCAGGCTGAGTCTATAGCCCCTCCCAGCAACCCCCTCCCACACCCCTCTCCGGCTTAGGGGGTCCTGGCAAAGGCAGTGGGCCAGGGGCTGACTTCCTTTTTCCTTTGTCAAAGCTCAATAGCTCCCTGGGGCTCCAGAGAGATGGAGATAATTAGGCAAATTAGCAACGCCCTCAAGAGAAATGACATAAAAAAGAAGCTCACCCACCCACCCTGGGCACAGCGGGGCTGGGGACCAGGTGTACAGGGCTGTGCAGGGTACAGCGCCTCTCCCTTCTGCTCCCCCCCTCACCCAGCCCACATGTGCCCGGGCGGCTGGCATTACTTCGGAAATGAATTTCCCTCTGAAGCGAGTTCTTACAGGATGGATGGACTGAAGTCAAAAGCTCATAATTGCCCATTGCTGGAAGGAGGAGATAGGAAAAAAGAAACTCGAGGATAAAAATATCTCTGTTTTTTTATGCACGTTTCCAGCTGAAAATTGGTGGGAAAGATGTTTTTGAAAAGCCTTCATCTCTAAGCATATAATTACCAGGTCTCAGAACAAAAAGGAGGGAGTGGGAAAGAGTGAGCATGCTCTCTGAGGGAGGGGGCCTGGGGCCTGACCCCTGGGGATTTCTATAAATAAAATCATTTCTTCAGATTCTCAAGCCTGGGCTGGCTAGAGCCAGCGATGGAGGGGCAGGGATAACCCCCCATCCCCCCATTTTACAGATGGAGAAATAGAGACTTAAGTCACACAGCCAATGGTAATTCTGGCCCTGCTTAGATTCTTGGTTTGCATGCTGCCTCAGTCCCCCCCCCCCCCCCCCCACACACACCCCAAAGCTTGTGACAGTGGTATGCTATGTCCCCTCTGAACAGGAATCAGCAAACATTGTAGCATTCCTTATGGGTGCCTTTCTGAATATGGCAGTGGGTCTTAGATAGCCAGTTTTATCTGGCAATTCACCTCTCTAGAGTGGCCTCCACCTCTAAAAGAGGTCAGCACAGCCACAGCCTAAAACGTTTGTGCCTTTCTCTAGAGAAGGGTCCTCGCTTATTGCTGCCCACTGACTCTTTGTCTGCAAACAGTTGTATGAACCCTGGTTTGGGTTGGAGAGAGCCCTGGATCGGATACATGCAGACATGTGATGAGACAGTGGACTTCCCCTGGAATTTCTCACAGATCAGCATGCCAGACACAGATACTGGCTTCTCCCTGAATCCACACTGACCCCCACACAGATACTGACTCCTTCCTGAATACCTTGCTGACCCCCTGCAGCTGAAACTTCCTCAACTGAATACCTCAGCTCATGTCCCCGCCCCTCACCCAACTGCAGTATAAAAAAAGCGCCCCCCTCCCTGTTGGCGTGAATCCACGCGCCCTGTCTTTGGGGGTACGTGGGTTTCCCCGGGGACGCAGAATAAACTTTCCTTCCAACTCTCTTTATTTTCTTCGCCACCTCCCGAGCCACCTAACCTAACACCTGGTTTGCAGCACTGTCAGGCCCGCTTGACTGCTGGGAAAAGAGATGGCCCACAGCCTCAGCCCAAAGCCAGCAAGAAGTTGTAGAAGGAGGGAGTTGGGGCCACTCAGTGTTGAGACAAGCAGCTGTCTCCGCTGTCCCTGCAGCTCAATTCAGCACTGAGTAGTTCACTAGAGCGAGATCTGAATATTGGCATGAGGAAAGAAGGGAGAGGACACACTTGGAGGATTCCACAGAGACACCTCGGGGAATGGGTCCTGGCCTTCGGCCGCCAGCATCCTGCATCCTTTGCTTCAGAAAGAATCCTGCATTGTTCCTCAGTCTAAGTTTCTGAACCTTTTTTTAAAAAAACACATATTTTTATTGATTTAAGAGAGGAAGGGAGAGGAAGAGATAGAAACATCAATGATGAGAGAATCATTGATCGGCTGCCTCCTGCACGCCCACACTGGGGATCAAGCCCACAACCCGGGCATCAGGGAATCGAACCGCCACCTCCTGCTTCATAGGTTGACGCTCAACCACTGAGCCATGCCGGCTGGGCAGACTCTGAATCTTTTGTTTTTAGTATCGGGGTTCAAAACGCCACCTTTAACCCACTGTTGTTCCACTCTATTCTTTGGGATCCTACTGCTCTGAATTTGGCGAATTTCTTTCCTTAAGAGATCATCTCCCCCTCCACCATCCCCAGACTCATAACCCTGGAGCCAGCAAGCTTATCTTTGGTCTGCCCCGTTTTGCCCAGTGGCAGAATCTCATTTGCACAGGATAAGACCGATTTCAATTCCAGAATTGCTCTCATGAAATACTAGAGACCTTCGCTGTCGCACAGTTGATATAACCCAATCTTATTAATTTTATTAGCTCAGAAACATCTTGTTGAATCTAAATGAAGTGCGAGTTAGAGAACTGTAATGGGAGGCATTATACTTAATGGGGTGTTGCCTAAATCGTTGCTGGCTGGTGTGAACAGAGGGCCTGGGGGGAGACGGGTGAGCAGAGCTGCTGGGTGCCCAACTCCAGAGGCCCTAGAAATGATTCCGGGTGTAACTGCTGTTTGATTTGCTGTTTACCTCCTTCTGGCCAGCAAAGGGAGCTTAGCCCTCGCCTGCAGAGCAGAGTGAGGGCACTGGGGCTCTGTGAGACCCAGATTGAGCTGCAACCCTCACTCTAGAGCAGCGACGGCCAACTGGTGGTCTGTGAGGTCTGAAAGGTTGGCGGCCGCTGCTCTAGAGCAGTGATTCTCAAGGTGTGTGTGGGGGTGGGGTGGGGGGGTGAGGGGTGAGGGGTGAGGGGCAATATTGCTCCCCTAGTGGACATTGGCAATGTGTGAAGTCATTTTGGGTTGTCATGACTGGGGTGGGGTGCTACTGGCATCTAATGGTTAGGTCTTGCTGTGGCCAGGAGGCTGGGGGAGGGGAGAAGAGTGATCTCCCCATAGTCAGTGAATGGCTGAGCCAGGATATGCACTCAGGCCAGGCTGAGCCCTGAGCCCATGATCTTAACACTGGGCCAAGCTGGCGCTGCAGGGGTGAAGGAGGCAGGAAGGTTATTCTTCAAGGGCAAGCGACCGGGCTGGGGGGGCACGTGCAGGCTCAGGTGAGACAGACTCACCTTGGGCTGCCTAGAATGTCTGAGAATATGGCTTGTGCAGTCCTCATGAAGAGTCACTCATTGGGCCACTGCAGATTGAGTTTGCTCAGGGCCAGCACTGTCTCCCTTGGGCTGTGACACCTACCTGCCTGCGAGGGAGCTCCCTGTCCCCGCAGGTGTGCAAGCACAGCCTCAGGTGGTGCCGTCAGCAGACCCTGGTTCTAAGCCACATTGCGTAACTCCCCAGCTGCGTGACCGTGGGCATGAGTTGTCCCTCTCTGGGCCTCAGCTTCCTTACGGGTACAATGGCATAATATTACCCATAATAATAATAATACCAGCCCCACGGGCTGTGCAGATGGTTAACCACAGAACAGTGTGAATGTTCAAAAGAATGTTATTCAGCCCCAAGAGCAGAGATAGAGCCGCCCTTGGGAGGAGAAGCCACCAGGATCCCCCAGCAGAGACACCGGTGGAGCCGGTGGCAGGAAGGAACCCCTCTTTCAGGCCACACCCCTGAAAGGCTGGCCTGGATGGAAATGAAAATGGAGCTCTGGGCCTTTTCTCTCTCTCTCTTGCCTGCAGACGATGGGCCTTACTCCAAAGGAGGCAAGGATGCAGGAGGCGCCGACGTGGCCCTGGCTTGCCGCAGACAGAGCATTCCAGGTACCGAACCCCTCTCCTTCCCCTTCCTCTTTCTCTGTCCTGGAGGCAAGGAGAGCTCTGGGTGGGGGTAGACAGCATTGGCTTTGCTGCTAACTTGCTCTGTGACCTTAGACCAACCACATAACCTCTCTGATCTGTAAAAAGGAAATATCTCACCCAGCGTAATGCAGCCAAGTGCCCTGTTTGCCTAATGTGTTAGCCTCACTTGTTTTGGAGCTGAGGGCCCAGATTGCCCCGTGCTGCCCCCTCATCTTCCATGTGTCAGCAGAGGAGTTCCGAGGGGTCACCGTGGTGGAACTGATCAAGAAAGAAGGCAGCACGCTGGGCCTGACCATCTCAGGTGGCACCGACAAGGATGGGAAGCCCAGGGTCTCCAACCTGAGGCCCGGGGGGCTGGCGGCCAGGTGAGAGAGGGCTTGGTGGGGGCAGCAGGAGGGGGCTAGGGGCCAGTGGGAAACGAACTAGGGCTTTGGGTAAAGCCGTCAGGCAGTTGTTTCCAGAAGCTCTCAAGAGCTCGGTGTCTGCGGAAGGAAGCCCTGCAGTGGGGGCTACACCTCTAGGCCCCAGCCTCCTCTCTTTGCCTTTACAGCAGGTGCTCACCTGGCCACTGTGCCTCCTCTAGCCAGGCCCTCCAGGCTTTGCCTGTACAGCTCCCTCTGCCTGGAAGTCTCATTCCCCATGACAGCCTCCAGGCAGGCTCCTGTTCATCCCTCCACATTGCCTCTGGGAAGCCCCTAGCCCCAGGCTGGGACAGCCGAGCTGCTCACACAGCCCCGTGTGCCACTTCTACACACATTGCCATGGATTTCCCCATTGTTTTGGCTCCCTTGGACCATGAGTTCCGTGGAACCTGGGAGTTAGCCTCTCCATCGCTGCCTCTCTGGATGGAGCCGGCACTGATAAGTGTTCAGTTGAACAGAACAGATGAGCGGTGAAAAGCAGGAAAGAGTGCTAGGACTAGCAACGGAGGTGATCTGGCCCCTCTGCAGGCTCGCCTGGAGCTGGTGAGAGCTTGGAGGGTGACCCCCAGGAGGAGGGAAGGCAGGCAGACCGGCCTCGGGGGAAATGCCAGGCCTGGGCGTCAGACAGGTGTAGGTTAGCATCCATGCTGAACTACTCACTCACTGTGTGACCGCGGACATTGTCTGACCTCTGAGCCTACATTCCCCCCTCTGTACAACGAGGATCCGGGTGACATGAGGATCCCGTGGGAAGGTGGGTGTGAATGCTGCACCTGGCACCATGCCTGTGCTCTGGCCCCCTTGCTCCCAGGAGTGACCTGCTGAACGTGGGCGACTACATTCGGTCAGTGAACGGGATCCACCTGACCAGGCTCCGCCACGATGAGATCATCACCCTGCTCAAGAACGTGGGCGAGCGCGTGGTGCTGGAGGTGGAGTATGAGCTGCCCCCGCCCGGTGGGTGCCCTTGGACAGGGAACTTTCTCCGCTGCCATGGTTGTGGGTGGACACCGCTGCCTCCCTGCCAGGGCCTGGGTGGTGGGGATCGTGCCAGATGGGGTAGGTGGGACCTGGAGACTGACCACAGACATCCATCCCTCGCCCAGGGGCTTTGCCTGCACCACAGGATGCTGTCCCCGGGGGTGGCAGGGTCCTGTTTATAACTCACGGTCATATTACATATTTATTTGCAGATTTTTTTTCCCTTAAGGGGGCAAGTTTGGGGAACATTGGCTGAATACATTGTCCCCTGCCCTACCGCTCTCCCCAACCTATCACCCTGCATAGAGTACAGTGGCCTAACTCTGAATTTTCAAAGTTGGCCTGGAAATTGGGTAACTGTTTGAATTCAACCCTGGTCTGAGCCCACCAGCCATGGATTCAAGCCTGAGTTCCGCCATCGTCTCTGTGTGAGGGTGGGCAGGCCCTTTCCTCTCTCCAGGTGATGGACAAAGTGGGTACTAGGAAAAGGGTCCCTCTAGGCCTCACTTGTCCTACCCGTTAAATGGGGAGGAATTTGCCCTTCCTATAGTCTCCGTGACTGGTCACCCAACTCTCCTGGAACGAGCTTTGGGGACATCTGCCAGCTCAGCGATGTGACTGAGACTCAAGGGAGTCCTCCGTTTTTCTCTAGCCCCGGAGAACAACCCAGGGATCATTTCAAAGACAGTGGACATCTCGCTCTACAAGGAGGCCAATAGCTTTGGCTTTGTCCTGAGAGGTCAGTGTAAGAGTCACCCTTGGGCCGGGGGGCGGGAAAGTGGCTAATTCTGATTCTGTGAATGTTGTTTTGCTTTAATGAATCTGTGCATAAATCGGATATGTCATCTGTATCTTGCTTCTGACTTTAAAGAACCCAGGACTATTAAGCCAAGTGTTAAATGGAAAAAGCTGCCAAGCAATGAAATGTAGGTGGTTGAGGGGTGTGTGAGGGAAAAGCTGTGTCAGAAAATGGTGGTGCCACTGAGATTGAGAGCAAAGTTTGGAGCCGCCAAGCCATCAGGGCCGAAAGGGAAACAGGATGAGATCCGAGGAAGGGAAGCAAGCCAGTTAGCAGGGAGAGGACTTTGGCCATTTCCTCTACTGGCTGGCGGGCGGTGGGATTTACAGCTGGTATCTCAGAAGAGGGTCTGTGAATAGCAAAGATAAGGTCCTCAAACAGATGTAATGGGGAGAGCCCGCTGAGGGCCTGGGTCAGGGTCTCTGGGCATCAGGAAAGGCGTGGGTAGGTGATTTTCTGCTTCTTGCTGAACTCTGTCCAGGAGGGGCCCATGAAGACAGCCACAGGTGTCGCCCACTTGTCCTGACCTATGTGCGACCTGGGGGCCCTGCCGACAGGTGAGCCTGAGCCAGAGGAAACCTTACAGCCTCGCACTGTGCTGACCAACCCCAGCTCCTTGTGAAGAAGGCAGAGCTGGGGCCTTTGTGCCCATTCTCCAGATGAGCACACTGAGGTCCAGAGAGAGTACACCCTTTGCCCATAGTCGCTCAGGGAGTATTTGGTGGAGCCAGGACTAAACCTCAAATGAGAGAGACCCCAAGCTCTTTCTTCCCCAACATTCTGTGGTTTCAGGGGGCCATGGGAAAACGAGCCTTAGTATCACATTGCTCTTCCCTTCCCTGGCCTTAGTTTTCCTCTCTGTGGAATGGGTCCAATATTTTAGCCCCCAAGATTTGGGGCATGGTGATTGGCGTCACTGTGGCCCTCTGTAATTCAGTCCCCGCCCTCACCCTCCCAGTCCTGACTGCACTGCCCACCCCGGCCCTGCCCAGACACGCAGGAGGAGAGAATGTGGAGGAGGAATGTGCCCAGTTCCCAGCGCCTGGTGTCCCAGTGGGAGATTCCTGGCCATTTTAAGAGAAGCCTGGAAGGGCCTTGTCAGAAATCTAAATCTGTCCTGGAACAAGGCCCTGCAACAAGCTATTCATAGAACCTCCCAGAATAGCTTTGGCCACCTGTTGGGGCAGGCATTCCAGGGCGGGGACTTGACCCAAGCCGAGGTGAACCCCAGCTCGGGCCCCACCCTGGGGCCCCCGGTGAATTGGTTCCCAGGCCCATTTGCCACCAGGACAGAATCACTGCTGAGGAGCCAGGTGGGACCGTGGGAGGGAATCTCTGTGATGGGCAGCATGGAGCATCCAGCTCACCCCACTGCTGACGCCGGGTGGCCCTGGCGGGGCTGCTGTCCTCTCTGGACCCTGGCGCGCTCGTCTATCCCCAGGGCAGGAGGGCGTGGTGATCCAAGGGCCATCCCCCTCAGGCATTCTAGGGCTGAGCCAGGACTGAACGTCTTAAGCACCAGGTGGGGTGGATGTCAGAGCAGACCCGGTTCCTGTCTCCCCTCCCCCACATATTCACCTGCACAGGCCTAGCTGCTCATCCTGTCACTCCTCATGCATGCCTTCGCTCACCTGTCCCGTCCCTTTCTCCTTCACCCACTCCCTGCCCCTCCTCTGTCCTCTGTGCCCACCTTTCCCAATGCCCTCTCGGCAGGGCTGTGCCCAGTGCTCGCGCCGGGCCAGGTGGCTGACCGGGCCCCTCCCCGCAGGGAGGGCTCTCTGAAGGTGGGTGACAGGCTGCTCAGCGTGGACGGGATCCCCCTGCATGGGGCCAGCCTCGCCATGGCCCTGGCCACTCTGCGGCAGTGCAGCCACGAGGCCCTCTTCCAGGTGGAGTATGACGTGGCCATTCCAGGTGAGCCGGGGCCTGCGGGCTAGGGCTGGGCAGGAAGAGGCCCGGGGGGGGGGTGGGGAATGTAGTGGGCACAGACCCTCGCCACTGCAAAGGCTGGATGACCTGGGCCAGTCCCTCAGCTTCTCTGAGCCTATCTGGGCAATAAACACTATGAACCTGGCATTGTTTGATGCAACGGGCATTCTGCTGAGGACAATACGGAGGTCGCTGTTCTCATGAAGCCGATGCTCTGGTGGGGAGATGGGCAGTAACCAGAATGAGTCCAATAGAGAGAGTGTCAGACGTCAGTAAGTGCTGCAAAAAAAGTTAGGGAGAGAGATGGGAAAGGCTGGGAGGGACTTCCTAATTTCCAGCCACCCAGTGGGAGAAAGGCCAGGGTGGCTGGACCAAGCTGGTGGCTGAGGAGCAACACCGTAGGGGGCAGGCTCAGGAAATGTGATGAGGTCGAGCCGGCTCGATTTGCTGGCGTTTGGACAAGGTGGTGGGACCTAGAGCAGAGGAGCTAGGTTTTGTTTTTGGGCCACTGGTGGGTCAACAGGGGGCCGTTTTCTGAGTGGGGGAAGGGTTTCAGTGGACACTGCAACTCCGTGCCGGCATGCAGCAGGCTGTCAATAAATGAGCAAGGTAGCATTGTCCAGCAAAGCCCTGCGGTCAGAGACCCTCAGACCCAGATCCCTGCCCCTCTTCCGCTGCTCAGCGACTGTGTGCACTTGGACAAAAACAGCCTTCCCCTCCCCACGTCTCAGTCTTCTAGTCTGTAAAATGGGTGCAGTGATCCCAACCTGGCAATGAGGATTCAATCGAGACAGCAGAGTGAGGGTAGGGACGAACGTGCTCAGTATTTGCACTTCAAACTCTTCTTTCATTCCATGTGCCAGATACTGTGGCCAATGCTTCGGGGCCCCTGATAGTGGAGATCACCAAGACGCCGGGGTCCGCCCTGGGAATCTCACTCACCGCCGGCTCCCACCGGAACAAGCCAGTCATCACCATCGACCGCATCAAGCCGGCCAGCGTGGTGGACAGGTGAGGCACATGCTGGGCACTGCCATGGTGAAGAGGGTAGCAGGGGAAGAGGCCACCCAGATCAGCTTCCTGCCCCCCCCCCTCCTCTGGCCAGGAGTGGAGCGCTGCATGCTGGAGACCACATCCTGTCCATCGACGGCACTAGCACGGAGCACTGCTCATTGCTCGAGGCCACCAAGCTGCTGGCCAGTGTGTCAGAGAAAGTGCAACTGGAGATCCTGCCTGCGCCCCAAAGTCGGCGGCCCCTGAAGCCCTCAGAGGCAGGTGGGTCCCCTTGGAGGATCTCAGGGCATCATATGGATCAACTCATTCTGACCCTCCCCATTACCCTAGGACAGTGATGGCGAACCTTTTGAGCTCGGCGTGTCAGCATTTTGAAAAACCCTAACTTAACTCTGGTGCCGTGTCACATATAGACATTTTTTGATATTTGCAACCATAGTAAAACAAAGATTTATATTTTTGATACTTATTTTATATATTTAAATGCCATTTAACAAAGAAAAATCAACCAAAAAAAGAGTTCGCGTGTCACCTCTGACATGTGTGTCATAGGTTCGCCATCACTGGCCTAGGATGGGCCACTGTCTTAGTCCCATTGTACAGAGAGTGACCATGAGGCACAGTGGGGTTACGTGACTTGTCCAAGTGACCTGGCAGCTGGCTCCAGAGTCGCCAAGCCCCCGGTAAGGGTGGGGGCGCTGTGCAGGAAGGCAGAATCAATAGGCTGAGAGAGGTGGGTCCTCACCCTCCTTCCATGGACTGGACCCCTCAAAGCCCCGCAGCAGAAGGAAGAGCCGGGGTAGGACCTGGGGCAGTCGGGGAGGAAGTGGTACATGGCAGCCAGTTTGGGTGATCAGGTGGGGCAGGTGTGGGGAGCGGGATCTCTGAGGGCCTCAGGGAAGCAGATGCTTAGATGGACTTGGAGGCAAAGAATTCACGGGGTGGGGAAGGCCTGGGAAAGGTGGAAAGGGGAGGATGCAGGTCTGAGCAAGACTCCACCAGCCCAGGAGCCCTGGCACACAGGCTGCCCTGAGAGCCCAGCAGCGGGCAGGCATGGCCAGGCCCTGGGACCCTGAGGCTGCCCAGGCTCCAGAGCCAGTCGCCGGTTCAAGTCTTCCTCCACCACCTCCCACTGCGGCCTCGCTGGGCCTGCTTTTCCTCCCCTGTCCCGGCTGCCCCATGGCTGCGCCCTGAGCACAGTGCCCAGCACATCATGAGCGTCTGGGACGTGTGAGCAGAACCCTGACTGCTTCCCTTGGCTCAGGGGGAGCTCAGGATCTGTGGTCCTGCTTTCCTCACTTCATCTGCAGATGGGAGCGTAGCCTTGGGAGGGTGGGAGGTGGGGTGGGGGCAGGCGTGGTGAGTTCAGACTCCATCAACCCCTGCATCTCTCTCTCTCTCTCTCTCTCTCTCTCTCTCTCTCTCTCTCTCTCTCTCTCTCTCTCTCTCTCGTCTTCCTCCAATGGCCACAGTGAAGGTGCAGAGAAGTGAGCAACCACATCGCTGGGCCCCCTGTGTGCCCTCCTGCCACAGCCCCCGGCCCGGCCACTACAGGACGACGCCCACCTGGTCTACACCTGCCGGCCAAGACCAGAGCCGATGTAACGTGCCCACCTGCTGTGGCTTGTGCATGTTTCGTGGGGGAGGAAACCTAGGCTCAGAGAAATTGGGGGCCTGCCCAGCATCACCTGGCACATTAGTGATGAGATGGGTCCCTGTCCTGGCAGCTGGGTTTCACTGGGTCTGAGAAAACCCTGCCGTTGTTGAGGCCCAGAGGTCACCAGTGCGTGGTCAGGGGGGTGGGCAAAGGCATCCCTGTGTCTCCCTGTGGTTGGGTGGCCCCTGGCACCCCCTGTGCAGTAAGTGGGAGGGCCCTGCCGGGGCTCACCGGGCTGTGCTCTCATCTCCCCAGCCTTATCCTCGACTCCATTTTCCTCGCCGGTCATGAACCACACCTTGCCCTGCGCCAACCCCAGCACCCTTCCCCGTGGATCCCAGCCCATGAGCCCCCGGACCACAATGGGGCGGAGGAGGCAGCGAAGAAGGGAGCACAAGAGTTCATGTAAGCCATGGTCTCTTCCCTCCCTTGCCACAGCCCTGCCAAGTGGGAATCACGACTCCCATGGTACAGATGAGGACACTGAGGCTCAGGATGGGCCATGACTTGGCTGGCACCAGAGCGAGTCAGGACTCCCAGTGCCTTGTCCCTCTGACTCCAGGTGCTTGGGCCCGGGTCTGGGTTGGCTCCCACAGGAAGGCCTGGCTGGGTCGGCCCCACTGAGTGCCGTGCCCACCTGCCCCACAGTGTCTCTGGCCTCCAGCACCGTGGGGCCAGGCGGGCAGATCGTGCACACAGAGACCACGGAGGTTGTGCTCTGCGGCGACCCCCTCAGCGGCTTCGGCCTCCAGCTCCAGGGCGGCATCTTCGCCACCGAGACCCTGTCCTCCCCGCCCCTGGTGCGCTTCATCGAGCCCGACAGCCCGGCCGAGAGGTGAGCCTACTGCCCCCTCCCCACTGGGCCTGCCGCTCTTCGGCGGGCGCTCACGGACAGCCAGGGAAACTGAGTCACCCGCCACGCCTGGCTTCACCAGTTATCTCACTTACCCACCACATCGACTTCGTCACCAGCCCCTGTGATAGATGAGGAAACCAAGGCGCAGAGGAGTCGATTCCCTTGCCCAGGGTCACAGGACTCGCGCCCCTGTGGGTCTGAGGTCAGAGTCCTCTATCTGTACATCTTGTAAGGCACGGCATCACCCCTATCGGACAGACAGAGACACTGAGGCCCAGCAAAGACCCTTAGAGCCACAGGGTAAACTGCCTGAGGCTCTCGCGCTGGAGCGGGGCAGGGCTGAGACGCACACCTGCACGGCGGGCCAGCTCCCCACGGAGCTGTGCCCGTGACGGAGCCTCTTTCCTCTGCGGGGCTGCCCGGGGTTCAGGTGTGGGCTGCTGCAGGTGGGGGACCGCGTGCTGTCCATCAACGGCATCGCCACTGAGGACGGGACCATGGAGGAGGCCAACCAGCTGCTGCGGGATGCCGCGCTGGCCCACAAGGTCGTGCTGGAGATCGAGTTCGACGTGGCGGGTGAGAGCGTGCCCCTCGCCTCCTCCTCACGCTTTGGAGCCCTCTGCTCCCTCCTCTCGGCCCTGCTCTTGCCTGGGGCACAGCTGCGCCTGAGCACTAACCGTGGGGAGGAAGGCGCTGGCCGGAGGAAGGCATTCCACGCTCCCCAGTGTCAGGGTGGATTTTGCACCCAAACTCAGGTCAGAATTCTGGTCCTATGATTTGGACAACATGTGACCTTGGACAGAACACAGTTTCCCCAACTGTAAAATAGCGAATAGAATCCTTTCACTACGGGGGATGCTGCTTGTGTTCGATGAGATAAATCACGTGAACACACCCAGCTCAGGCTCAGGAAATCGTCACTGGAGCCCTTGGGTTGGGTTGGGCTTGGCTATGGGGAACCCCCAGCTGGCAGTCGCGAGGTCTGGGTTCCAGTCCCGGGTGGTCCGGGTGGTCCGGGTACCACGCTGACCGGGTGGCTTGGCTGTCTTGAACCAATCTGTCAGCTCACGTGCCTCGGTCCTCGCATCTCTCGGGTGTAAGAAGCAGGACGGGGCTGGTCCCTCCCAGCTGGGCGGGTGTCGATGTGGGGCTGGGTCTCACGTGGGGCCACGTCTGTTTGTACCCAGAGTCTGTCATCCCGAGTAGCGGCACCTTCCACGTGAAGCTGCCTAAGAGGCGCGGTGTGGAGCTGGGCATCACCATCAGCTGTGAGTCCCCTCCCGCCCTGCCCTACCATCCCTCCTTACCGTCCTGCCTGCCCCTGGGAGCCGCGGGAGCCCGCCTGCTGGGAGAAAGAATCCACCTCCTGGCTCTGTGGGAGGACCTGCTGCTTGGGCTCCCTGCGCCCTGCACTGCCCCGCTCTCTCCATAAGCAAGATGGGAGCTTCTCAAAGCCTTGGTCTCCTGCTCTGCTCAATGGGAGTCTGCAGGCCCTTTGGGTGTCCGATGGGGTGAACTCCCCAGGGCCCATGAAGCCCTCTGTGACCTGGTCCCTGTGACCTCTGACATTGCCTCCTGCCAGCTCCCTGGCCACTCCAGCCACTGCTGGCCTCCGGGCCGCCCCCTGGACAGGCTGTATTCCTCTCGGCCTCGGGCCTTCACCCTGGCTGCTCCCTCTGCCTTCTTCCCCACCCCCTGCAGGCCTTTGCTCACCTGTCACTTTGGCAAGGCCGTCCCCACCACCTGATTTAAAATGGCACTGCCCTCTGCATGGTCCCTGTCCTTTATTTTTCTCCACAACACGCGTTATCATATGACACGCTCCCTTTAAATTGTGTTGATTATCTGTGGCCCCCACTAGATTGGCAGCTCCAGGCGGCCGGGGATCTCTGTCTGTTTTGTTCACTGCTATTTTCCTTCCTGGCACATAGTAGCCACTCAGTAAGTTTTCATCAAATGAATGAATGAACAATTATAGGATGAATTGATGAGTCGAGAAAATGAGGCTGACTGGGGCCTGGGAGTCAGGAGCCTGGCTCAGCCCGGCTCTATCCTGGGGACCCGAAGGGGAAAAAGTTAGGTTGAGGGGAGTGGAGACCCCAGCCACCTGGCCACAGCATCACTACCTCCACCGCTCACTAACGGGGAAACCCATTAGCCCAAATGGATTCTTTTCTCAAGAAAACTAGCCATTCCTGCCACACACATTGCCTTAGGCCCTGTTCCCCAGGAAACAGCTGCTCAGACAGGGAGTTACATGCAGGGGGTGTACTGAGGAGGCCTCTTAAGACCAATACCTGTTGCAATGAGGGAACAGGACTGGGCACAGGGAGAAGTGGAGCTGCCGTGCAGCAGCAAAGAGGCTCAGCCAATCCCATTGGAGAGCTCGCTCTCACCTGGGAGGCCTTGCAAGTTGCCCTGCGCTGAGGCTGGAGCTGGGCCTGTGCATCATCTCCTGGACCAGCCTTTGGATGTGGGCTGCACCAGGAGCGGCATGGCCTTGGGTGAGGCGACTCCCTTGGCCAAAGGGGGTTCCCAGAATGGGACTCTGCGGTGAGCCGTCAGTAGCCAAGACTCCCTGCAGGCCATTGTGGAAGAACCTTGCAGTTCTGGGTACCGGCCTGAGCCAGGTGCTGGGAACACAGACGCCAGCTACCCTCGAGGAGCTCACAGTTTGCTGGGGGATGGGCAAGAGGAAAAAATGGCTGATGTGGATGGAGCACCCACTATGTGCCAGGAGCCTGCAGTATCTAGTTTAATCTCAGGATGCCCCTATGAGGTGTGTGGCATCACCTCCACTTTGCAGAAGCGAAACTGAGGCACAGAGAGGTGAGCTGATCTGCTCACAGCCACCCAACCAGGCAGCAGTGAGAGCAGGGCTTGTGGCCCCACGTCCATGCCCCAGTCCTGGGTCCCCCCGCCCCAGGCTGAGTCATGGCCTCTCTTCCTCCAGCGGCCAGCAGGAAGCGAGGGGAGCCCCTGACCATCTCTGACATCAAGAAAGGCAGTGTGGCACACAGGTAGGGGTGCCCCTGGGCCTGGGGTGGGGTGAGTAGGCCATGGGGGTGGGTAGGGCACTGGCATATGCCAGGCTCCATCCTGCCGCACACCCCTGCTCACGCAGGACTGGCACCCTCGAGCCAGGGGACAAGCTGCTGGCCATCGACAATATCCGCCTGGACACCTGTGCCATGGAGGACGCCGTGCAGATCCTGCGGCAGTGCGAGGACCTGGTGAAGCTGAAGATCCGGAAGGACGAGGACAACTCTGGTACGGCCCCACCCTGTCCTGCCACCTCTCGCGGTCCCCCAGACCAGCGGTTCCCAGCTTGCAATTCGGGGCTCCCTCTGGCCTGGGAGGGATGGTGGTGGTGCCACCTGAGAGCTGGCCGGTGGAGACCCCTTGACTGGACAGATGCAGGGAGGGGCGGCACCACAGACTCCTCACTGTCCCTGGGGCCCTCCAGGGCCCTTGTGAGTCCGTGGGGGTTTGAGTCACCAGCTGGATCCCCCATGCCGTACACAAAGCCTGGCAGGGTGGCTCTCGGGGAGCAGCTGTGAGAGATGAGCGGGTGGGGTGTGAATGAAAGGCGGGATCCCCGCACCACTGTGTGGGTGGATGTGCGAGTGAATAAGCAAACCCTGCAAACTCAGACACAGCTGAGGCCAGACGGGGACATAAGCGAGTGAACTGACAGGAGGTAAGAGTAATGGTACAGGTTGGGAGGCAAAAGGGAAGGGTGAGGGTTGGGCCACTGAAGGGCAAATCCCTGATCCAGAGGGGCCGTCACCACCTGCTGCCTGGGCAAGAGGGTCTCTTGGCTGATTTTTTTTTTTTAAGGAAAGTTGGAGATCTGGTTTCTTCTCATCGTGATTAGCATTATCACGATCATTATTTCTATTCCGTGTGGCGTGTGAAATCTGCATTTTAAAATGTTTGTTCCACGCTCCTGTTCTTTCTTTTTCTAAATGGTGTTTGGGTGGAAGAAAGCATTTTGGAGGCAGAAGATGGGCTCAGGGCCCCCAGGCTGCGCCAGCTGCTGTCACAGCACGAATGAATGTGTCAATGGATGGATGAGTGAATGGATGAGTATGAGGGAGTCAGTGCACCAAGGTTTTGGGGAGCTGGGGGTACCTAGCTCCTGGACCCTGCCCTGCTGGATCCTGCCCCTGATGGGTGTCACCCTTGCAGATGAGCAGGAGACCACGGGTGCCATCAGCTACACGGTGGAGCTGAAACGCTACGGGGGCCCCCTGGGCATCACCATCTCAGGCACGGAGGAGCCTTTTGACCCCATTGTCATCTCCGGCCTCACCAAGCGTGGTCTGGCTGAGAGGTGAGCCGCGGCTCTGTAGGGACACACTCGGCGGGCCAGGGGCAGAACTGGGCTGTGGGATTAGCCAGACTGGATTCTGACCTTTGTTCCAGCATCTATGCTCTGGGGGACATGGGGCCTGTCCCTTCCCTCTCTGAGCCTCATTTCCACAGTCGGGCCAGCGCCCTGCAGACCTCCCAGCTCCAGGTCAGTGCTGGATAATGTGCTGATCCCTCTGCTGCCTCCCTTGCGGGGCAGACAGCACTGTGAGCCTTTTTGGAGCACGTGTGTGCCTTCATATACAGGGGCCGAGCCCAGTACCCTGGGTCCCAGCACCCGGATCGCGGCACAGCCTGGGACCTTTCCTGGCACATTGGAGGCCTGCCCCTGCTATCCTCTCCCCTGGAGAGTGTCCCCAAAACTGTGGCAGCTGGAAGAGGGGATGTCCCAGGTTCTTTGGTTGGTTGGGGGAGCAGATAGATCTGGGACCCAGAGGTGGAAGGAGCCCCACAGGATTCACAGGTCGGCCACGCCAGCGTGGGTGGGAGGGTGCATTCTCCCTTCAGCTGGGCAGCGAACTTCCAGCACCGAGAAGAGCTGGTTGTGAAGGGGGAGCCTGACCAGGCTGGAGGGGCACGGGGGGTCCCTAGAGGACACGGTGCAGGAAGGGCCACACAAGGAGAGGGTGCCGCAGAAGGATTGGAGACTCCGCAGGACAGCTCCCTGTGGCGTCCCCGCTCCTCGAGCGCCCCCTGCTGGCCATCTGGTAGACTGCAGAGGCCAGTGTGGACCGTTCTGACATCAAATGCCTTCATTCCCAGGTTTTCTGGGTACCTACAGTGTTTTAGCCCGTTCTGGGTGCTTGGGGACTGGGGACGGGGACGCAACACACAATTCCCTCTACCTTCATTGGGCTGATCTAGCTTGCCATCCAACTGCAATATAATGCAAACCACCAATTCATTTATCAGCTTTCTAGTAGCCACATTAGGAAAGCAAAAAGGAACAAAATGAATCTTAAAATATCCCAACATATAATCAACACAAAAATTATTAACAAAATATTTTACATTCTTTTGTTCATACCACATCTTCAGAGTCTGGTGTGTATTTTACACCTTCAGCACATCTCATTTCAGGCCAGCACATTTCAGGGGCCTGGTAGCCACCCGTGGCTGGTAGCACAGCTCGGACCTCCCTCCCCGAATCTGCCGTTCCCTGACTCACTCACTCCCCAGGCCCCAGGGGAGCTTGCTGGGCAAAGCTGAAGATAAGGGCACTCCGGGATGGACCCGCTGTGAGCTCCCACCTGGGGGGGAGGGAACATCTAAGTTTGGGGTTTAAGACCCCCGCCCCAATCCTCTACCTCTTTTTCCCCCACCTGGGTCCAGTGCATCCTCAGCAGATGTTGAACTTGTCTCCCACCCTCAGTCCTGGCTGCTCCGCAGAATCGCCTTCCCCTGCCCGAGTCCCATAGATTTAATTGTTCGGGGGTGGGGCCCAGCATCTGCATTTTAAAACAGCTCCTCAGGTTATTCTAATAGTATCCGGGCAGAAAACCATTGGGCCCTGGGATTATGCTCATTCTCTAGGTGGGGAAACTGAGGCCCAGGGAGAGGGAACAGGTACCCATGTATTTCTGCTGAATGGAAACATTAACCCATCCTATTCATCCATCCTTCAATATTAATTTGATAAAATATGTATTATCACCCCTATTTTATAGAGGAGGGAACTGAGGGAAGTTAAGATCATGTAGCTAGAATTTGACAGCTAGTCTGTGGGGTTCAAACCATGCTCAAAACGCATGCTTGACATTGGTTCTAGAACCTAACTTTAGAGTTAGGCAGGATAATCCCTTCCCAGACTCTAGACCAGTGGTTCTCAACTTTGGCTGCACATTAGAATCACCTGGGAATCTTTTTAAAATCCTGATTTCTGGGCCTCATCCTCTGGAAATTCTGTTTCTTTGTTATGGGGTGAGGCCACAACATTAGTAACAAAGAAACAGAATTTCCGGAGGATGAGGCCCAGAAATCAGGATTTTAGAAAGATTCCCAGGTGATTCTAATGTGCAGCCAAGGTTGAGAACCACTGCTCTAGACTTTATACGTCTGTTAATGCAACTCACAGTCACACTTGCAGACTTTTTGCAGCTGGGTTTACCTGAGTTCAGCCAGGCGTGTGCCTTGGGCTCCCAGTTTTCCTAGGGCATCTCCTCACTCTGAAACCCTGAGTGCCTAGCTCTTACCCTCTGCCCTGTGCCTCCTCCCCAGGACTGGCGCTATCCACGTTGGGGACCGTATCCTGGCCATCAACAGCGTTAGCCTCAAGGGCCGGCCACTGAGTGAGGCCATCCACCTCCTGCAGGTGGCTGGTGAGACCGTCACACTGAAGATCAAGAAGCAGCTAGACCGTGAGCCTCCCCCCACTCCCTGGGACCATTCAGCCCATTTCAGAAGGGAGGACTCTGTGCCTCTGGGCCAGGCTTTGTGCCCCATCTCACAGAATCCTTGCTGAGCTCTATGGAGGTGGGAGGATCCCTGAGACACTGAAGAGACAAGACCCAGAGAGGGGAGAGGTGGGCCCAAGGTCATATGGCTGGTGTGGGGCAGAGTCTGGGTCTGAACCCTGTTCTTCATCACCTTCTGCCTCTTAAGACTGCTTGCTGCACCTTGTGGCCATAACTTGTGCATTCCTCAGCTCCCCCTGGACTTGTCCCGTGTGTCTCGGCAGGACTACAGTGGAAGGAGCCTGAGCTTTGGGGTCTTCCTTCTAATCTGGGCTCCACTGTTGCTCCCCATGTGACCTTGGGCATGTTGTTCAGCTTCCCTGAGCCTCGGTGTTCCCATCTGTGAAATGGGTTTGTCTATCAGTGTGGCACCTCCCACTTGTCAGACTGCCCAGCAGCAGGCTAAGGGGGCTCAGTGCCTGTGGATTCCCACACCAGACTCCAGTGGGGAAACTGAGGCTTTCTGAGCATCTCTATCTCCGAGGTCAGAGGCCAGTGGCAGTGACTCCCACCCCCCTTTTCCTCCTAGGCCCACTTGCACCTCACAAGTCAGGCAGCTTCAGCGAGCCCAGTGATGCGGATGAGGACCCGCCAGAGGCACTCAAAGGAGGACAGCTGACGGCCCGGTTCTCGCCCGCTGTGCCGAGCGTGGACAGCGCCTTGGAGTCCTGGGACAGCTCGGCCACAGAGAGTGGCTTTGGGGGCCCAGGTAACACCTCGGAGCCCCTGGACAAGCAACATGCTCTCTCTGGGTCTCCCCAACTGCCAGGCCTTTGCAGGGCTCTCACCCCTGGGCCGAGGCCTCCTTATTCCTCTCCTCGCTCCATCCTCTAGGGCAGTGATGGCGAACCTATGACACGCGTGTCCGAGGTGACATGCGAACTCATTCTTTCGGTTGATTTTTCTTTGTTAAATGGCATTTAAATATATAAAATACCAAAAATATAAGTCTTTGTTTTACTATGGTTGCAAATATCAAAAAATTTCTCTATGTGACACGGCACCAGAGTTAAGTTAGGGTTTTTCAAAATGCTGACACGCCGAGCTCAGAAGGTTGGCCATCACTGCTCTAGGGACACCTTCCCTGAAGGCAGATCTGATTGGGCCCGATTAGCCATTCTCAGGCCCCTCGCTCCTCAGCTCTCGGACACAGGCCTTCACACATCCTTTGCGTAGCTTCCACAGCACCCTACTCTGAGGTCCGAGACCACGCTCGCCTTACCCCTGCTGTCTCTCTCATCCCCGCCTGATGCCAGCACAGCAGGTGCTCCATCAGTGTTCACTGCACCCAGTCGAAGATGGAAAGGCAGGAAGCCCCTCCCACCCCATCCTACACCATCCAGCCTGGGGTGGAAACCTCTGGGGTGCCCTCCTAGGACCAGATGCCCCCGTCCATCTATGTTGAGACCCATGGGAGGGACAAGGAGCATTTGAGTCCGGTGGTTGGCCCTCTGGTTTCAGTGACCCAGAGCCACAGGGACTCCCTAACGCCCAGCTCAGGGGACTAGTGTGATGCCTCTGGGTGCCCCGGTGGCTCCCAGTCCTGGCCCTCACTCTCTGGGTCCCGGCTTTCCCATCTCGAGCACTTGGTCAGCATCTGTTAGCTCCACCCCAGGCAGGACCTTCAGAGCGCTCACAGGCAGGGAGAGAAGGATGGTCAAAACACTGAACCTCCTCTCAGCACGGCATCAGCCAGCCCAGCCCTGCGGAGCTGGGGCAGGGTCCTGGAGCCCCAGGCATTAACTCCTCCGCCAGAGGACTGGGAAAGTCACGGGTTTCTCAGGTAGGGACCTGGGTGGCAGCAGCCCTGAGGGCACGCTGGGTAGTCCTGCTGGCCCAGAGAGGGCACAGACATATTCAGGGTCGCCCAGCACTGCTAGAGATGGATTGGGAAGGAGGGCATGCGAAGGGCACAGAGAGGATGCAGGCACCCCCTGTCTCCACCTGCCAGGTTCCTACACTCCACAGACGACAGCCCGGGCTGTGAACCCCCAGGAGTGGCAGCCCAGCCGGTTGAGAAGCAGCCCCCCACCCACTGAGCCCCGGAGGACGAGCTACACCCCGGCCCCTGCTGACAAGAGCTTCCCCGAGGAGGAGGAAGAGGAGGATTGGGAGCCACCGACTAGGTCTGTGGTGGGAATGCCGTGAGGATGGAGACAGTCCTGGTCTCTTGGGCAGGATGGTGAGGGTCGCGGTCCCTGTGCGGCCGTGGTGCGGGCAGTGGAAGAGTCTGGTCTGCCCCCGAGGAGGGGCTCCTCCTGGGAGAGGAGGAAACATGGAGCAGACTCTCTCAGCCAGGCCGAGGTGGCGGAGGAGCTCGCTGGGTGGAGGGCACAGCAGGGGCACTGGTGGGGAGGTGGGCAGCAGCCGGGTTTGCCCTTCCCGAGTCTGGGGGTCTCCAGCAGCAGACTCAGAACTCAAACCCGGGTCCTCCTGACTCAGCCCAGATGGCTCGAGGGCCCTTTGGGTCATGGGCACCAGCCCTGGCGTGTGGATATGGTGGTTTTCATGATGTTGGCTTCAGAGATCTCAGCCTCTCCCTCGAAGGAGGAGGCGCCCACAGAGAGCTGGCCTTGTGGAGGAATGCTGGCCACCCCTGCCCATGTCCATGCTGTTGGTTAGGCAGCTCCTACTGCCCAAAACACCTTTCCCTCTCCTCTCCTGGCCAACACCTACTCATCCTTCAAAACCCAGCTCAAATTTCCCCACCTCTGGATTGCTTGACTTTCTCAGGCCGATGACCGTCTTCCCTCTGCTGGTACAGCTGCTCACGTGAGCCCCTGAGTGGCGCTAGCCACCCGTGTCTACCGGGTTAATTACCTGGCTCTTCTACCTCCCTTCTGCGTGGCACCCCTAGCTCTGTGCCTAGCACCCAGTAGGTGCTCATACACACTTTGTGACTGAATCCTCAGCTCCCTGAGAACAGGGGCCCTTCCTTATTCGCCTCCATGGGCCAATTGTTCGTACAATGGACTTAAATGGAGAGAATGTCCTCAGCCTTGGTCTTCTCATCTTAAAATGGGAAGGGAAGGAGGCAGCTATTTTGCTTTATTGCCCCTGAGGCTCCCTGGAGGAAAGCCTGTGTGCCTTTGGGAGAGAGGAAGCTCTTTGAAACCATAGCATACGCTATAAAGAGCCAGGACTTGGTGCATGGCCGATGGCTTTGTGAACTCTGAAATGTGTGACTTATTACCTTTCTAATGAGACTCGATTTTAGAGCTGATAATGGGCTCATACAGCCTGTGATGGAAGTTATGGGATGGTCTCAGCCCCTCCCCCAGCACAAATACTCCATCCTTTCCATCCATCTGTGTTCTTGCTGGCTCCAGCTCTGTCCCTGTCACTGTCCTATGGTGCCATGTGTCTGGGTGGGGCCAGAAGCCGTCCTCTGGGGCTACACCATGGATCTCCTCTTTGTCTGTCTGTCTGTCCTTCCGTCTGTCTCTCTTCCCAGGCATCCTGTGTCACTGCTCTCCACCCCGTCTCATCTGCCCCTGTTCTAAGACCAGCAATCTTGGCCGCCCCTAGCTGCGTCTTCCCCTCATTCCGTGTCACCTACCACTGCCCCGGGGCCCCAGCACTGCCACCGAGGATGCCCGCCTGCCCACCCTCTGGCCCCTCGAGCCCAACGCTGATGGCCATTTAGAAGACTCCTCAGGCCCAGCCTGCCTGCCTGCCCACCCGCCTACCAGGAGTTGACACTCTCTGGTTCCTACGTTACAGCCCAGCCCCCGGCCCTGCCCACAAGGAGGGCTTCTGGCGCGTGTTTGGGGAAGCCCTCGAAGACCTGGAGTCATGTGGTCAGTCAGAGCTGCTGAGGGAACTGGAGGTAGGCCACCTGCCCTTCGGGCCTGCGTGGGGCGCCTGCCTCTGGGCGCACTGGTGTGTGCACCTTTGGGAGGCAAGCATGTTGGTGGGATTGTGCTCACATGTAACATGTATGTGTGTATGCATACATGTGAGCATGCTCATGCATGCACAGTGCTGAGTGTCTTCTCACACCATGTGTGTCTGAATGTGCACATTTGGATGCATAGGAACAGCTTGGTGTTTGTGTGCGCATGTGCCCTATGTGGACGTGGTTGTGGGCATGCCCTGTGGGAGCCTGTGGATGTCGACATCGTTTTCAGCACCGGCAGTGAGGAGCCCGAGGAGCTGAGAGGCGAGTGCAGCCTTGTATGATGAGGTCAGCACCGCCCGTGAGGGAGCAGGCTGCCCAGGAGAAGCCAGGGAAGGCCCGACGGGGTCACTCCCGCAGCTCCTTCATACGCGGAGAGCAGCCCTTCACCTTTCCTCTGGGCTGTGTTCTAGTTGCTTCCCTTACTCTGTCTTCCAATTCGCTAATGTTCTCCCTGGCTGTGAATCTACTGTCTAGCCCACTTCGTAAATATTGTATTTCCACTTCCACATCTTTTCTTTATTTACTCTCTAATTCTTTTTCAACTCTTCCCAGTCTTTTTTCTTAATGTCTCATTTTCTTGTTTTTCCTGCGTACTTTAAGCAGACTTATTTTAAAGTTTCTTTAGATGTCTCCCCCGCCCCCCCCCCCCCCCCCCCCCCCCCCAGTTCGCTGGGTGCAAATTCATTCGTCCGCGGTCTCGTGAGCCGGTGGACTCTGTTTCGTTGTCGTGCTTACTCTCAGCAGCGGTTACTCCTGGAGGCTCCCGCCGTGCTCTGTGCTGCTGAAGCACCTCTGAGGTCTGCGGTGGCTTTTGAGCTTCATCAGTTCCACACCAGGTTTTCATTCGTTGCTCAGCGTGGTGTCTCTATCACACTGTTTATGGAAGGCGGATTCTGGCTCATGCTTCGTCAGTGGTCACCTGAGCTGCTGGCTTCTCTTTCTCACACATGGCTTCCCAGCCCACAGTCCTGGTGGTTCCTTGCCGAACCCCTGAGCTGGCAGCCAGGCATCTCTAGTCCCCCTTCAGGGGTGGCACTCCCCCAGCTCTCCGCTCCTCCCTGAATGGGCGCCCCAGCTCCTCACTGCACATCTGGTTCCATAGGCCAAGTGGTTCCACTTCTGCTCATGTCTGTCTCTATTTAATTTATTTTTTTTTGCTTTGAAAGTGTTTATTTTGAAAATTTTATTTTTAATTTACCGTAAGATTTGGAGGGAGATGCGAGCTCTCTGTATCAGCTCGGTCTGCATTTTCATTGGAAGTCCTAGAATTCTACAGTTCTAGGGGTCCAAGCCCTTGTGGTGTATACCTGCTTTCATTGTTTAGTGATCCTATTACCCCAAGATTCTGAGCCTCTGGTCTTTCTGTTCGGACCCTGGCTCTCCAGGCAGGTGAGGGCCAGCTGTAAGAATTGAGAAAGGCGTCTCTATGCCTCTTCATTCAACATCCTCTCGTGTTCTCCTCTCTTCCTCCCCACCCCACCCCAATCCTTTGGCCCTAGTTGGTCCTTAGGGGACCTCGAAAAGACCCAAACTCCCAGCCGCAATGTCAGAGAGAACCTTGTATGAATAGTGGAAACTCAGAGCCTAGCGGGCGTGGCTCAGTGGTTGAGCGTCGACCTAGGAACCGGTTCATAGGTCAATTCCTGGTCAGGGCACATGCCTGGGTTGCAGGCTCCATCCCCAGTAGGGGGTGTGCAGGAGGTAGCCAATCAATGATTCTCTCTCATTGATGTTTCTCTCTCCTTTCTGCTCTGAAATCAATAAAAATTATATTAATAGTGGAAACTCAGAGACTGTGACGGGCAGGAGAGAAGTTTCTAGGCTGGGCAGATACCCTTGTGCCTAGGAAATGATAATATCGCGGGTGAGAAGTGCATCCTCCCCTCCCACCGACCCCAGAAGCGCCCCCCTACTCCCAGCTCTGGATTTCCTGGTCTGAATGTGAATAGATTGCGCTCAGGGTCACGGACTCGCGGCGCTCACTTCGAGTGCAGCATTCCTGACTCCGCTCGCCCTTCCCAGAGCTCCCCTTCGCTTCACCTCTGACACGTGTCCTACGTCTGCTCCTTTTGTCCTTCCCCACTGTCCCCATCCCTGTCCAGGCCACGGTCATCTTTTGCTTGGACAACTGCATGGTCCCTCGCAGGCCTCCCCCCTGGCTTCCACACCCACCGCGATAGCCCGATCTCCACCCAGCAGCTGGCAGGTGCTACTAAGTCCGCAAATCTGATCCTGCCCCCCACCCCCTGCACAGACCCTTCAGAGTGTCCCCATTGCCTTTGGGGTGAAGTTAATGTTTCTCACTGTAGTCCCAGGGGCGTGTGGGATCAAGCCCTCACCTGCAGCCTCATTCCGTGCCCCGTCTCCAGCCTTCTTCTAGATTCCCATTGCAGGGCCCTCGCACAGGCTGTTCCCTCTGCCTGCCAGGCCCTCCCCCTCCCCACCCGCTTTCTTGCTCATCTTTTAGATCTCAGCTCAGGACGCTTCCTGACCTCTCACACGGGACCAGATTCGTTGTCCTCACCTTCCATGTACCAGGCCTCTGTGACTGTTAACTGCCGTGTGCAACTTTATCTTATTTGTTTTTGCAACTAACAAGGTAACAGAGTGATTAAGACCCTCGACTTCGGAGCCAGACTCTGAGTTCAAATCTTAGTCTCTCTGAGCCTCAGTTTCCTCATCTGTAAAGTGGAGAAAAATAATGGCATTTGCTGGTCTTGTAATACCGTAGAGAATAAAATGAGTTCGATGTATAAAGTGCTTAGAACTGAGCCCAGCACAGAGTTAGAGCTAATTCAGTGCCAAGGATGGTTATTCTGATTGCTGGTGTGAGAGACCCGGGAGGACAGCAGCGCGTCTATGCTCCTCACCTCTGTGAAGGCTGACACATAGTAGGTGTCCAAAGAGCTGACTGAGAACAGAGAGTGTCTGAGTGAAGGGTTGTGTCCTCACAGGCATCCATCATGACGGGCACCGTGCAGAGCGTGGCCCTCGAGGGCAGGCCTGGCCACCGGCCCTGGCGGAGGGGCCGGGAGGTACGCCCTTCCCCGGAGGAGATGCAGGAGCTGCTGCTGCCAACACCCTTGGAGATGCACAAGGTGGGTGCTGGGGGAGGGGGGGGGCGGGCACAGGAGGCCTGGGCGTGTGTCCTGGTGCCATGAGGGCTGGCCATGGGCTCCAGATAGGCCCGCTTCTCTTCAGTCTTCATTCCTCCACCGTGAAATGGGATTCTGTACTGGTTTCTCAAAACTCCCGTCACACACACACACACACACACACACACACACACACACACACCTGTGATGCACGCTGGGCTATTATTAATATTTTCCTTTAAGTAGACTCACTTTTTTCAATTTAAGTTACTGTGTGTATAGGCTTCTACATATTCTGTGTATATATTTATTACTGCCTTAAGTAAAAAGCCAGCATTTTTGCCATCTGTAGGTTACTATATAGAAAGAATAACACAGAGGAGAAAGAAAACCTCTCCCCTGATAGCCATCAGAAACCTCTGAGCCTGAAGCCAGCTCTTGGGTAAATTGGGGGATGAGCAAGTGTTAGGGGTAGTGAAGACACGTGGGCACCCACTGAGACCTTCTCCGGGGGGAGGCAAGAGGACTGGACGAACTGACAGGAACTCCCTTCCGAAGGGCCTCTGTTGTGATGGGGAGTGTCGACCTGGGGCCGGGGGCCTGCTGAGTGCAGACGGGGAGGGGAGCTCCATGGGCACCGCAAAAGGGCGTGCGGAGTGCCTCTGGGCGGGGACTGCATCCCAGAGACATTGAAAGCCAGACCAAGGATTCCAGCTACTGTGGGAAGTTGGGGCCGGAGCTCAACTCCAGGGACCTCCTCTTCCTTCTGCTCCCAGGTGACCCTGTACAAGGACCCCACGAGGAATGACTTTGGTTTCAGCGTCTCAGACGGCCTCCTGGAGAAGGGTGTCTATGTCCACACTGTGCGCCCCGAGGGGCCCGCCCAGCGTGGGGGCCTCCAGCCCTTCGACAGGGTCCTCCAGGTAAGGCTGCAGCAGGCACTTCCGGGGGAGTGGTCTTTCCTAGCCCTGGGCTGGGGAAAGAGTCCCCACTTCTACCCTGGCTGAGTGGCCTTGGGCAGGTCACCTCCCCTCTCTGAGCCCCAGCTCCTTCATTGTGAAAAGGGAATGACGACACCAGTCATATTAGTCAGGTTAGGCTCAGTTCTGTTGCAGTAACTCGCAGCCCTGTGTCATAGTGTTAACACACACATGTCCACTGTGGACTGCATTAGCCTTGCTCCGCCTGGGCTGATGGAGACGCCCCCTTCTTGTCGTTGCCTCAGACACCACAGCAGAGGAAACCCGACTGGAAAATGGCATATGGGGTTTTTCTGCCTTTACCTATCACTCCCCTTCATGGCCTATTGGCCAGAATGAGTCATGTGACCTCACCAACTGCAAGGGAGACTGGGAAATGCAGATGAGCAGATGGAAAGTTATGGGCATCCTGGCCCAGCCACCTGGGCTGCCTTTCCCCGGCCCCAGCTACTTTTGTTCCCTTGGTGTGATTTCTGCCACATCTGTGCTGAATTTATCGAATGTATGCTTTCATCTAAATGGATGACTTTTTTTCAAGTTAAATTGATTTTAAAAGGAAACTTTTCGACTCAATTAGGAATGAAAACCTGACACTGTTTGCGTGAAGTAGAAGGCCAGTGTAAAATACAAATGAAATAGCAACAGGGCACGGCCACACCGTTCTAGGCAGGAGGCCAAATGTGTGCTCTTTCACGACAAAAAGGCGTCAGAGGGGCGAAGGGTGTACCGGCACCTCCCTGGGACTTTCCCTTTGATTAAACCCACCAGGAGGATTGAATGTTAAATGAAGAATGCTTTCCCCTGTGTGAGTGTTCTAGATTTTTCCTTCAGCCCAGGCCAGGCTGATGCCAGTCTGTCCCCTGGGCTGTGCACCGTGCAGGTCAACCACGTTCGCACGCGGGACTTCGACTGCTGCCTGGCGGTGCCGCTCCTGGCCGAGGCGGGCGACGTGCTGCAGCTGGTCATCAGCCGCAACCCGCTGGCACAGAGCAGCCGGACCCCGCGAGCACCCGGCCCCAGCAGCCCCCGGATGCTCTGACGTCGGCGTGGTCGACACCCAAGGGGCACTCCAGCTGATCCTGGCTCCCAGACCTGTAGCTGGGCTGGAAAAGTGGCCAGCCACATGTCCATCTGTCCATCTGGCAGGCTCTAAGCCACGGACAGGACCTTGTCACTGTTCTCTGGTTCTGTGGAACTGGGGTGCCAGGCAGTGAGGTCCCTGCCCCAATTGGAGTGGCATCTCCAGGTCTTTCTCCATGTTGGGTCTCCAAGATGCCCAGAGGTGCCCAGCCTAACAGGGACAGGCTGCTCAGCTGGGAGAAGAGGGGTCTGGAGGTGGCCTCAGGTCCCTACTGAGCATCCTCAGACAGGCGTCTGATGTGGGGAAGCCTAGCTCAGCGTAGGGAGCGCTTTCTCCCAGTGGAGCTATGGAGCTGGAATGAGCTGCCATGGAGGAGTGAGCTCCGTTAGAGCAGGTGAGCAAGCAGGGGCTGGGCACCCCGTGGGGTTGTTGCCTGAGGGGTGAGGCCTCCCAGTGATGCCTCCACATGTGCTCAGAGGGCTAGTTTCCTGACAGGAGCAATCGGGGTGAGGCTGGGGCCACTTCGGCGGAAGAAATGATCGCCAGGAAGGATGCTGCCCGGGCGGGAGCCACCTCCTCCTCCAGGATTCTGGTGTTCGGGGCTCGCTGGTTCTGGGAGTCTCTGAGTCCCAGTGTCCCCACTTAGAAGGTTCTGAGCTGGGACGTCTGGAACCCAGGAAGCATCAGCCCTTTGATATGAAAGTTGGTGATTGTTTCATTTTGGCGTCTCTGATCCAAAGCTTCTGAGATTTGAGGCCGGGGTACTGGGCGCCCTGGGCAGCTCAGTGGCTGGCTTTGGGCTCTCAGCCCCTCCTGCTTCTTTTGTAGGACATGTGGCCACTAACCCATCTGCACAGGCCCCTCGGAGCCCAGGCTCCTCCATGTGGAGGGAGTCATTTTGGGATAAAACTGGGGCTCCATTCACCTGCCACTCAGTGAAGGTGGGAAGCCATGGAAATACGATACATAAGCTGGTGCAACTACTCCCCAGGGTCCAATTCAGGGGAGAAGGAGGAGGGCGAAGGAGAGAGAGAGAGAGAGAGAGAGAGAGAGAGAGAGAGAGAGAGAGAGAGAGAGAGAGAGAAAAGAGAGGCTGGAGAGATGGCCATTCTCTCTCACACTCAATGGTGACAGTGTCCAAAGTGGTCATCCAAGGAAGTTCCTTCCCACTTGAAATCTGGAAGCACCAGCATCTCTTAAAATTGCTTTCCTCATTTCCACAGACCAGAAGCCCTTTTGGTTGTGAGAAGGGCCCAGGGCCTCCGCCGGGTGGTCTGGTGTGGCCCCTGGGATGGAGGTGGGCGGGCAGGGTGCAGCCAGGTCTGGGCTTTGCTTTGTCCCCACCCAGCTCTTGATGGGGGTCTCACAAAAACGGGGCACCCACTCTCACCTGCACCCGCCTTCGCCTCTGTCCCCCCTTGGCCCGAAAAACGTTCTTCCACTCAAGGGACCAGATCAGGAGTCAAAAGGCCTGTTCCTCCCCCTGACCCCACCCCCCAACTGCTCGGTTGCTGTGTGACCCCCTGTGAGACTGATGCCCCCCAATGGACAATCAAGGGGTGGACAGTCTCTGAGCAGGTTCAGGCCTCCGTGTCCACTGTGGCCCCTCAGCCCCCTGCCCAACTCTCCCCAAGGGCCTGCCTCCCTGGAGAGCCCTTATGCCCTGGCTGGACTGCCCAGTGCCTCTACTCTCTTGGATGTCTGCGGGAACATCCACCCATTACAGGGGCACCAAGCAAGAGCCAAGAACCCTCAGCTTGGGGTGAGGGCACAGCAGAGACATGGCCACTTGCAGCCTCACCTGTGTGACTTTAGGAAAGTGGCTCAGCCTCTCTGGGCCTCTGTCACTTGACAGAGTTGGACAGAACACACTCCCGGGGCCTTTGACTTGGGGACGCTGCACTGGACTGCAGGCGAAGGAAGATGCACCCTAACCCTGACCAATGCTCCCCTTCCTCCTGGGGCTGGGGCCTCTGCCATTCCCCTTCCCCATCCACGTATGCAACGGGACCTGGAGGCTCGGCGGGTGGACTCCTTGCTGTGGCCGCCTTCTCATATGCAATATTTCTTCTGGCTTCTCATGGGGATGTTCATCCCAGACTTGACGTTTCCTGACACCCGTCCCGGTGAGCGTCCTGCCTGCCTATGCATTTTGGGTACAGTCCTTGCAACACTCCCCTCCCACCCCTAAAAGCTGTATTTTTCTCTGGCTGAGATGAGAGCATATTCCTTGTAAAGTATTTTTCTACATGGGGTTTCTTAGGGCTCTCGGGAAGCACTACAAGCCAAGGGGCTGCACTGCAAAGGCCATTTGGGGTGTTTGCACCCCGTGTCAATCTGTCTGTCCCACCAGGGACTGCAGTGACTTGGGAGTTGGGGGTGGGGTGCTGTTGGGATGATTTGCATTTTTTTAAATAAAATAATGTAAGTGCACCTGGAGTGGGTGTCTACTTTTTTTTAAATCATAGGCTAGCAAGTCAGCGTCTGTTTGGGTCTTGTGACATCTCACCTGCTTTTGATTAATTAATTATCATCCACTCAAAAAACCTTTGTGTACGATGCATCATTCTAGCCCCCGGGGGGAAAAACAAGAACAAGAGAGGTGAGGTCCTGTCTGCATAGAACTTATATTCTAGCAAAAGACAGACAACTGACAAGTGAAAATATATTTTTTTCAGGAATAAAAAGCAATGAAAACAAAATAGAAAGAGGGATAGTGACTGGGGTGGGGGCCTTTAGCTCAGGGGATCAGGAAGGGCTTCGATGAAGAGGTGACTTTTGTGCCAAGACCTGAAGGACATGAGTCAGCCCCGTGGAAACATGGAGGAAGCCTGTCCCAGGCAGAGGGCACAGCAGGTGCCAAGGCCCTGAGTTGGGAATGAGCTTGATGGTTCGAAGGAAGAGAAAGGAGACACGGAAGGGACTGGGGTTAGAGACCAGACTGGAGGTCGAAGAGCCTAAACATGAAGGGACCATGAGTAGGGACTATGGATTTTATTTTCTGTGCAGGAGGAGCAGGCCACTGAGACAAGTGATTGACGGGTCTGTTGCCTAGGTGGGGGAGGGGCCTGGAGGGCAGCCTGGGTCCCACTGGAGGAGCCACAGCTCTGTGTGGACAGCGGAAGAGCTTCTTCCCATCAGCTGTGCCAGATGGAGTAGCTCCTCCTTTCCGGGGGGATAGAAACAGGGGCTGGAGCACACCGATTGCATTTGTGTGGCTGGGCTAGGAACACTGGCGGCCGCAGGGTTGCACGGGGCTCTGCTGGTCTTCTGGGAGCAGTAGCACCAGCCCTAGAGCCTGGCTGTGTTCTGAGAGCTTTGCAAGAATTCCCTGGATCTTCCCAACAGTTTGCAGAGGTGGCTCTGTTACCATGCCAACATCACAGATGCGGAAGTGCGGCACAGAGAGGTTAAGTAACTTGTCCAAGGCCACACAGGTAAGAAGGAATAGAGTCAGGATTTGCACACAAGACATATAGCCACAACACTTGGGGAGGGAGGGAGGTGCACAGGGGCCAACAGAAAGGCAGATAGCCAGAACAAAGAATTGGGGAGAGGGATATTTTATTCTAACATGGTCTATAAATCATGAAATACTGGGATTCCTTTGGTCTGGGAAGTTGGGGAAAGGACCCAGCAGGCTCCCTGACCTTCCCACTCACAAAGGGTAATGCGACCAGTGGGCTAGAAGGCTTCCCCAAACAGCGACCCGCCTGGCCTCTTCCCCACCTACAACAGTGTCGGGCTTATGACCCCTAAGGCCGAGGACATCTGTGCCAACCACTGACCTTTTGGGGTCCCGGTGGCCTCCCCCCTGAGGTCCCAGTGTGCGGTCCCATGTGCATACCTCCAGGACTTGCCACTTACCCACCTTCCAGCAACCCCAGCCCCACTCTTGCACTGACAATCACAGCCCTGATGGGATGGCATGCGGTCAGGCTTCAGTGACTGCACCTGGTGGCTGGGTGGAGGCTGGGTGGGCAGGGAGGGCAGCAACCTCAAGTTAGTGGCTCTCTCCCGACTCCCCATTGCTGGGCTTACAGCAGGATAAGCCCGGGCCAGGAAAGAAGGAAACGGAGCCAGTGCAGGTAGGTGAGGGCCTGATACATTATGAGCATCACCTCTAATCACCCCTAAACCCTTACAGGGGGTGGGGGTTTATCCCAGATGGGGAAACTGAGGCTCGGGAGGCTATGGGAGATACACCAGCTGCACGGGGCTATGTGTGTAGCAGGTGGCTTTACTCAGGACGGACAGACCCAGCCCAGGAGTCAGTGGGCCTGGGTGTGAATGACTCTTGCACAGCCTTGCCGTGTGCCCTTGAGCAAACCACGTCCCCTCTGGAAGCCTCTACCTCAGAGCCCCCAACCTTGAACACCTGTGAGGAGCACCCCGGGCGGACCTGCAAGCCCCTCGGGAACTGTGGAGCACTTGCCAAGTGGAAGAAAGAACAGCCTCATCAAAACAGAACCCCACATGGTGGATTTAAAAAGGAAATGTTTATTTTCATGTTATAAGGTGATTACAAACTCCTCTAAAAAAAAAAAGCAAAGATGGATTTAAAATATCGATATACATATGTATCTAGAAAGCAAAAGAGGAAACACCCCGCAAAATACAGGGATTCAGATCATAAAACATTTATCCACAAAAGCTTGTATATCGCAAGACTGAATTACACACCAAGGGTCTTATTCAAATACAAATGTTCCTCCTCAGAAGAGTCTCTTGTTGGTGGATGTTTTTCTTTACAAAAGTTTAAAATATCTTTAAAATATTTTGATGTTAAAAAAAAAAGTTCTGATGAGCCAGACATATTTCTGGAAGGAGGCAAAACCGCGTCCCCAGCTTTCTCTTGTGCTAAATACAGAGTCACAGTTGGTAAGGATTTGAAAATTAATGGGGGGGAAATGGAGCTAACGCCTCAGTTCGAAGCCAAATGTATCACAAGACGCTTCATCCTTCGGGACCTTGTCAGAACACGTCTGAGTGACACCCACAGAGAACAATGAAGCGGCTCCCATTCTAGCAGGATGCATTCCGAGAGGGAGGGCCCGCATTCCTCTCGTTTTGAGATGGGGGTTTGTTTTGTGGCTTTGTGCTTGTTGCATTTTTGCACAGTGGTATTTATAGCATCCACGTGGAAGGCCCAGCTTGGAGGCGCCCGACGGTGGGTCTGAGGTCTGGCTGGGCCCTCTAGCTGCCCAGAGGGGCTTTCTCTCGGTCCTCCCCTGGCCTGTCCACGGTGTCGGTGTCGGGGGACAGGAGGCACCTCTGCCTCCAGCACTGGCTGCACAGAGCACTTCCCCATCCAGGGGGCAGTGTGAGATGCTGGCCGGGCCACTGGCCACGGTGAGGTGGGACCTGGTGACAGATGCCCTGTGCGAGGCCGAGGGGGGCTGCCTTTCCCCTGATGCTTCACCACTGTCTCCAGGGCTGTGCTGGGACCGGAGGGACCGAGAGGGAAGTACGTTCCGCCTGGAAATCAGAATCCAAGGCCACGTCCTGCTGCTTGGGAGTGGCCTCCTCTGAGTCCTGCCTGGGGTCCTGCCTCTGCGCAGCGACTGGCTGCTGAGGGCCTCCGTCTCCTCATGTGCCACAGGGATCTGGACGCCTCGCTCACAGAGGGCCCCCGGGTGCAGGGCCAGGGCGACCGGTGAACAGGCCTGAGTCACAGCGTGGGGGCCGGTTGCCCAAGGATGGTCAGTGGGTAGAGGTGCTGCTCACCTCGTCTCCCAACACTGGACGGAGCGTTTCCTTTATCCTAAAGGCTCGTTCGTCCTTGGTCTTCAGGGAGAACACCGAGGAGCTGCACTCGCCACGCGCATCTCAGAGGACCAGCAGCCGGAACTGACTGCGCACGGTCTGGACTGGTTCCGTCCCCGCTTGCTGGGCCAAAGTCCCTCCCCGCTCCAGGCCTCCATTTCCCCATTTTATGAGAGCGTTCATGCTCCCCCCCGCACCCCCACCCCCACCCCCACCCCCAGCCTCTCCATCACTGACTGTGTGGCCCCCTGCAGTGGCTAACATGGCCCAGGCCCAGTGTGATGAGGCCGCTCCCTGGTGAGTTTATCCTGGGCCCTCACCCATTTCTGCATCCTAAACGCTCTTCAAACACCTCCCTCGCACCCCTTCCAGGTTCTGCGGGCAGCAGAACGTCTGACCCACCCGGGCCAAGAGTGGGCGCAACACCGCCCCTTCTCCAGAGACAGGCGGACAGAGTCTGAGTGCCAAGGAGTTTCCTTTATGTGGAGACATAGAGAAGCCGCGCGTTGTTCCACATTGTACTCATAGAGCCAAGTTCTGCGGATACACCAGAGCTAGGGGGGCAGACACGAGGGTCGCGATTGGAGACGGGTGCCCAGGGAGGTGTGAGGGGTGGGCTTGGGGAACGTGGCTGACCTTCCACCCAGCTGGCACCTCGGGACTTGGTCTGCATGTGTCTTTGGTCTGGAATTTGGTCTGGGAATCTGACAAGGAGAGGCCTTCCTCGGGCCCTTTCCAGGATGTTGCAATTTGCCTGCCACCCTGCGGCCTTTCCCTGGGGATCTGAGCCCCAGAGGGGAGATGTGTGTAGCCTGAAATGACCACAGGTGCCCAGGTAGCCACAGCGTGCCAAGCCCTCCTCGCTCCATGATCACCTGTCCCCAATCGCTGACAGTGGTTAGTTTACTAAAGTTCCATAAGACAGGAAAACAGGTCACATTGCTACTCAGTAAAATTAGGGGGGGGGGGGGGGAAACCAACAAAGTCCAATCAGACACAGCAGCAACCATCGACACATAGGAAAACAGGAACACGTCGGAACGGAACGGCCTGGAATAGGTGTTGTTTGGCAGAGCAGATGCTTTGGAAACAGCGAAATGTGAAAGTTTACCAAGACAAGAGGTTCAGTGTGGCCTCTGCCCCTGGGGAGGGGGACAGCTAAGCCTCCTCCCTCTCTCGGATTGGGGGAGGGGGTTCCAGGATTCAGAGAGCCCCTGCTCTGAATCTCCACCCTCCACCCCCCTGCTAGGCAGTCACTGCCGTTTGTGACGTTTCGGTTTAGTTTAGACTGAACTTGGAAGTGACTTTAAAATGGCACAGTTTAGGTCCAAATGGGGGCCAGGGTGGAGGTGTGTCCACACCCGGGATGTTAAAGGTGAGTACCTTCCCTGCTGGTTCAGAGAGGACGCCATTCTTGGTCGAGCCAGTTCTGGGGTGCCAGCCCCCCGAACAACCCCACTTCCTAGAAAACGCCCCCCCACGGCCCCCTCTCGGTCCCATATAGTGCATATCTGACACCAGGAACTGTGGGGGGCGGGGAGGGGGGAGTTTTACGGCCGCCCGGGGTCTACCCAGCGTCGCACTTGTGACTAAACTGGGAGGAAGAGTTCTGAGAGCACTTTACTGGATTCGAGCGTTCGCTAAAGGCCCCGGGACGCTCTTGGTTCTCCCCGCGAGGAGCCTGCGTGGGCCTGGGCTGGGGTCTTAACCAGCGGTGCCAGGAGCTTCTCCGGCCTCTGGGAGGTGAGGGTGGAGAGATGAGGGAAAGCACCCCTCCCCAACACCGGGCCACCCGAACCCTGGGCCACTTTCTTTGGTCCACTCGCTCACCCCTCGTCCCTCACCAAATACACTGACCTCAAAATAAAAGGCGGGGTTCTGTTTTTTGCTATCAGGCCTCACCTGTCAGCTTTCAGTCAGTGCCTTTATTTGAGGGGCTGGTTCAGCATTTTGGCATCTCTCTTCCTGTTTACAAGTGTCCTGAGCCGACTCCTCACAGCCCTCCTTTCTCAGGCCCCTGTGGGCCTGGCCAGCGGGTGGGGCCCTCTCCCTGCTTCGACTTGAACCAGGTCTGGGAGGTACTACACCTTTAAAATGGGTTGGCTGTCCCAGGAAAATTCCACCCTGCGTTGTTTTATTTGGGGGGAGGGGGGGCAGGGAGGGGGCAGAACTTTCTGCCAGCTACACAAGCACCAAAGAATTGCTTTTGAAAACGAGATCTATTGCTGGCAAGATCAATTCAAGTGGTAAAAGTGTATGACAATCTCTAAGTGTACATATAATTATATGTAAAAAAAAAAAATACAAAGAAAAATTTACCAGTTCCCATAAAATACATCTAATTCAGTATGAAAGCTCTGCCTTGCCCCGGACTTCTGCCCATGGGTTGTTGTATTTTTTTTTTTGTTTGTTTTTGTTTTTTGTACAAAATATCCCCAAATCAACACAAAATACACACACACATACACACACACGACACCACACACACACACACACACACACACATACACAGTAATATTTTCTGTGACAATTAAAAAAAAATCCTAGTGCAAATATAAAGCTCTGTAAACCTGGTCCTATGAGAATCTAATGTTAGTAAACAGCAGGAAAGCAGCCGTCGGCCCGAGAGAGCTCACATCATGGTCTCCACGATGATGTGGGTGGGCTTCATGAGAGTGCCGTTCATGGTCGAGTGGGAGCTGTAGAGTGCGGCCCCGTCTCGATCCACAGCCCAGCGGTTGGGCTCCCTCGGGGTCAGCAGGTACTTGAGTCTCTGGAGAAGGAAGGGGACAGGCATGGGCGGGAAGTCAGGCGTCTGGTTCTCTGTCCCACAGCCCTCTACCCCATCTGGGTCCCGCCAGCGTGCCGTCTGGCCTTTGGCTAACTACTCTCCTCTCTGCACCTCCTGTTTCATCCACCGGCAAACAAAGACGGGAACTAAGGTTCTTTGAGGTCCCTTCATCCTCCCAGCCGGCTGCCCACTCATGGAATCTGTGAGCGAAGAGCCCTCCCCCAAGGACCCCGAGAGAACCAATGGCAGAACTGGGACCCGGACTCAGGGCTCCTGCCTCCCAGCCGCCCACACCTTCCGTCAAGTGTCCACTCAGGAACGTAAGTAGAGAGCAGTTGTGAACAAGAAGTTGTCTATATAGGCATTCAGTTTATGATGTTCCAGAGCTGCTTACTAAAAGCTACGGTATTTCATTTGAAAACCCAGATTTCCACCTTCTCTTTTAAAAATGGCAAGATCTGGCAACTGCGGGCCCCAGGTCCCCTCTCAGTAACCACTGGCCGAGCTGAGCGCACTGCTGCCGGCTGTAGCTTTCCATCACCTTCTCCAGGTCACTCCTGGGCCCGCCCCAGTGGCTTCCCGCACCTGGGTTGCCTGCCTGGTCCCTGAAGGACCGGCTGGAGGCCACAGGTAAAGGGCGACGGGGGGGATGACAGCAGGAAGGGCATCCTGCTCCCCTTCCATCGCTCTCCTCTCTGCACATCTGGTACAGTGGGGTGTGCACACGGCAGAAGGGACAGGAGACAAAGGCCCCAGACAGCCACTTGAGCTGTTTACATGGGAGCTGAGATGCCACTGGACTCCTCCCAGGACAGACCTGGGTCTGTAGAACCTGGCTCGGGGAGACAGTCATGGCGGGCAGATACCTGGGCAACCGGTGCAGGTGGGAGCCCCAGGGACACATAGCAAAGGCAGATGGCTGGTGGTTCAACTGCCTTCAGAGGAGGGGTTAGGTGTGTAGGGAAGGAAGGGGTGCAAGTGTGGGGTGGAGTGGATTCCTCACCCACCCCTTCCTCCTCTTCCACACCAGCCCCACTCTGACCAAACCATTACACTGGGGTTGGAATGATGTTTTAAAATTAGACTCTGAAGCCCTGCCTGGTGGGGCTCAGTTGGTTGGAATGTCCTCTGTACCCTACAAGGTGGGGGGTTCCATGCCCAGTCAGGGCACATACCCAGGTGGTGGGTTCGATCCCCGGTCGGGGCGTGTGCAGGAGGCAACCAATCAATGTTTCTTTCTCTCTCTAAAAAAAATTTAATAAAAAAAATTAAATAAAATTAGACTCTGAAAGGACACAAATTAGTGACCTGTTGGGTGTCCTTGTGTCCCACCCCCCATGGTTGAACTATGTAATTGCTCTGGGTACTGACCAATCAGAACAGACATCCAAGCCCCTCTGCTATGCTTCCAATTAACCCTTCAGTTTCAGGATGGTAGGGCCATTCTGGGAATTCCCGGGGATGGGCTGGGTTGATGTCGTGTATGTGTATATACCCAGAGGGCTCGGGGCAGTAGCTATTGCCTGTATGTCCCCGGGCTCAGTATTTCAATACTTTAACAAATAAAAGGGCCAGTCTGGCTGAATACTGGGGTCTTCCCCTGTGTCCTCTGAGGAAATACAAGGAGCCGAAGCTGCAGGAACACCCCAGGCCGAGCGCCATGCTTTCCTCCCTGGCACGGCCCTGCTTACTTCCTTTGCCTGGGGAAGGCTGGTCACTTTCTGCCAGGCCTCTCCCCCCGCAACACCTCCAGGCCATTCGCCTGCCCATAAGGAAACCCACCCAGTCCAAGGGGAGCCAGGGCCCCAGGACATCCTGGCTCCAGATTTTTAAGAGAATAACAATAAAAACAGCCCAGAACAAAACAGTGCAATCTTGGAGCCCACCCAAGCCCAAAGGTTAAGGGAGATTCTAAGAAAAGGATTTCTTGGAAAGTGCCCTGGAATCTACAGTATTGTCTGAGGAATTTCTGGGAGGAGGTGGGAGGCCAGGCGGGGGTGGGGGTGGGGGGAGTGGGGAGAGGGGGGAGGAGACTGGCAGGCACAGAGGCCTGAGAGCTGCAGGTTCCACTGGGACAGAGGTGGCCTCTGAGGTCGGCAGCAGACAGGTGGGTGGCTTCTGGGATCAGGGTGGGCTGGGCTCCCTCCCTGGCTCCCGGCTCCTATCTCAGGGCTTCAGAAATGCAGCCCCCACTGCTCCCAAGATAAAGCCAAAGCTCTGAGCTTGGCGTCCAAAGAGGCGGCCACCTCTCCAGCCTCATCACCCACCCCCCAGAGCGTGCCACTGCGGCCCAAGGGCTGTCGCCTCCTTGCACCATGTCCCATACCCTCCCTTCTCGAATTCTCTGCGTGGCAAATTCCTCCTCCTGCTCCAGCCCTGCTCTGAATGTCCCCACAGAGCTCCTCCCATGTGAACTGTACTTTGTTCCAGTCCCCCCCCCCCCCCCATGCACCCTCTGCCCACAATCCCCACCCCTCCATGGGGCAGGTAGTGGTGCAGGACTCGGGAAATGGCGTGTCCAAGGTTACACAGCAGATCACCAGCAGGCTGGCCTTCAGCCTCACCCGACCACCACCCCCCAGAGGGGCCCCGAGTGCTCACCACGAGGAACGGCCCTTCCGTCTGGCAGAGGCGGATGACCATGACCAAGGGGACACACACCATGGAGGACAGGGCGAGACACCAGCCCAGCCCGATGGCCCAGGTGGGGTACACGTACACTTTGTTGTAGGTCAGGGGTATGTACTTGACGAGAGAGAAAATGAAACATCCCTGTGGAAAGATGGGGGCAGTCAGGGGGGTCCTGGCCATTGGGAGGTGGTGGCTTCTGGGACCAAGGCATGTCCCACCCTAGGGGCCTCACATCCTCCTCCTCCTCCAGTCTGCAGCCGAAGGACCTCCCCCAGTCAAATCTGACCACGTCACACCTCACTGTTCTGGGCACCTCAAAACCCTCTGCGGCTGCCCTGTGCCTTCAGGACGCGGTCCTAGCTCCTCAGCCTGGTAGGAGCCACCAGGAGCTGCGTCCCTTCCTTCTCACCTGCCCCCACCCCTTCCTCTACGTCTCCAGTCCAGCCTCAGGCCCTGAGGCCAGGCTGGTCCCTCTGACTGGACCTCCTTTTCCCTCACCTCCTCTTCCTGCTGCTGATCTAGCTCCCATGCTCCTGCCTCACCTGCCCAGGCCCTCCCCGTCTCAGCCGGCAACCCATACTTTTCCTTCCCAGAGAGCACGTGGTTGCAATCACTTCTCCGGCACATGCCGTGCTCACCCAGCCTGAGTCAGTGAGGGGCGAGGGCTATGTGTGTTGTTCCCCAGTTTCTCTAGCACTTGGTGAAGTTCCAGGCGCACACAGCAGGTGCACAATAAGTGACAGCTGCGTGGGTGAAAGTCTTTCCACCCCTCCCAACCCATCTCCATCTCTGAGACCCAGACCCAGACCCCGGAACAAAGTGTGGACCTGGGCCTTGCCCACATGGGTGTCCAAGCCCAGCTTTCAGCCCAACAAATGACCGGTGGCCATCGGGGTCCATGAACAGCGGGATGGATAAGGTGGGGTCATCTCTAAGCCCCGAAGCCTGTGCAGAGGCCCCTGTTCCACAAACGGCTGGGCTGGGTGGGCCCATGGCTCCTGCTCTGGTCAGAATGGCAGCCCCTGCGTCTATCCCAGGTTGTCCTGGATGCCCCGCAATGTGAAAACGACTTATCCTCGCCATCTAATGGTGTGTTTGATGGGAAAGCAAATCCATCTACATTAGAATTGATGATGGGGGGAGGGAGGAAGCATTAGGCAGCAGATGCTTCCATAGGGCACCTGCTGTTGTTCCTGTCCTTCTGTGTGGGGCTGGGACAGACAGGGGAGTACCAGGAGGTGGCTGTCTGGGCTCTCCCAATGCCAGGAAGCTTTGTACCAGCCTGGGACCTGTACCTGCCACAGGAGCACCCCATTCCCATGTCTGTGACCTCTTCCTGGGACATCCAATGGCTGCTTAATGTAACCAGGGGCTGGAAGTGGGCTCGCGAGCTCTGGCAGGGTTTGGGGAAAGATGACGTGCTCTCTCACGGATCCCTGAGTTCCTCGATACGCCCCGATATGTGTTCCTCTCTGAGAACCCTTTGCCTTTGCATGGGCTGGTTCCTTTGCCAGGAACCCCCTTCCCGTCTTCTCTTCCTGACAAGCTCCTACTCATCCTTCAAAACTCATCTCAAGATAACCTTCCGGTGCAACCTGCCCCACCTCCTTCCGGGTGGGGCTGTCGCTAGGCTTCTTCCAGGACAGCGCTCAGCAGATGTGAATGCAAAACAGTTTAGCAGATGAGAAAAGGCTACTCCCCACAGCCAGGCAAGAGGAAACTCACAACACAGAGAACTGGAGTGACCACGGCCCAGCTGTACTTCATCCATGGCCCAGGCCGGTAGCCGATCATGTCCTCAATGCCGTCATACAAGTTATCACCGCCTGCAAGGGACAGGGAGACAGATGGTGACACGGTGCCCGATGCCATGCCAGCATCCACCCAGGGGGCAGCAGAGCAAGGGCTCAGTGCCATGCGGGGTCTCTGGGGCCTGATCCTGGTCCCAGCACATAGACCCATGTCCAGCAGATGTTTATCTGAAATTATTTCAAAAGTAACTGGGCATCCTGTATTTTTTGGCCACCTCAGGCATATCCCACTCAAAACCTGCTTTGACCAATCCAAGGTCTCAAGGAGGTCTAGTGGACCATTCCGGGCCCCAGAGTTATCACAGACAGCCCCCTGCACAGCCAAGTCATGTGTTTTTCAAAACATGCAGTCACACCTTGCACCTTTAGCACAGCGAGAATCTGTAGTGTGGCTACAACAATATTTATGTGTATAGGGAAGGGGCCGCCTTCAGATGAAAAGTCCAGGGCAGGAAAGGCCTTCATGTTCAACTCAGAATGCATTCCCCTTAGAATTCTGTTTCTGAAGCTTCTAAATAGTGAGGCTCAAAGGAGAGACGTGAGAGAGGATATGCGAAAACCGGTACTCACCATATATCCAGGCAACAACGAAACATTCAAAGAATGCAACCCACAAGAGGCATACACCGCTAGCTGCATAGTAGTCAAAGAGTTGAAACACATACATGCCACCCTGTGAAGAAAAAAACAGAAGTTTGATTTAGTTTCTAATTCCCTTAATATATGAAGAGCTCTGGTATATCAATAAGAAAATGTAAAAGAAAGTATAATACCCAAAAGAAAAATTGGCAAAGACTATGATAACAGAGTACCTGTGTATAAAGATACTCCACTTCATGTTTGACAAATTTAATCACACACACACACACACACACACGGGAAAAGTACAGCAAAGCAACGTCTTCCTTAGCAAAAAATGACGAGTTCCCTGAAGCCTGCTCCCAAAGGAGGTACTTAAACCAGCCATGGCCAACAGGAGACCTGAGGAACATCCAGGGGCTCAGTGTATGGACTGTGATCTACCTTCTGAGGGGGAGGTTTCTTACAGGTACTTCTAGAAAAATACGTTTACTTTTGCTTCCAGTAAGGAAAAGTGGTGATGGGAAACCCTGAATTGAGTTTGGGGGCCAATGCAACCCTTTGCAGGAGGATATGGGGAGATGGGAGGGGAGAGGGACTGGAGAGAGCATGCCCTGGCCTATGCTCAGCTCACGTGCCTATGTTATTTAGCACAAGAATCTTTTCTTCCCTGGCCCACCTCTTGCTAGATGTGCTGATCCACTGCTGCCTCAGACACTCCTCTCCTTTCCTCTCTTGCCTCTTTGTCCCACTTTAAACAGATCCTCTCTGGACCCTGCCCACTCTCTGAACAGCGCACCCTCCAGCCTCGGTCAGCACTGCCTACAGTATTTACCCTGGAGAGCCTGAGAAGGGCGCTTCACAGTCAGGGTGAGCAGAGCTGTTGTTAACATGGATTTTAGCTGAGGCCCCCTCCCCCAGGCCTTCCAGGATGAGGAAGACAGAGAGCAGCAGGGCTGCCAAGCTAACAGGAGAAAGGGGGGAGATTGGGTCCACTGCTGGACTCTCCTCCACAGTGTAGGCCCCTGGGCAGGGCAGGACCCCTGAATTGGGTGGGGCTAGATTGCCCATCCTGGTCACTCATCCAGCTGTTGGGGGGACCAAGGAGGTGGTATGGCCTCAAACTGCTCTGAGTTCTTGGAGCACCAAGATCCCTCCGAGGGGAGGCCCTCCATGCCAAGTGAGAGCCACCTACCTCCGTCACCATCGTCAGCCCCAGCAGGTAGCTGATGCTACATATCAAGGCGATGAAGATTTCCCGACGGAAACCCTTCCTTAGGAAGGATGGGTAAAGATCAACCAAGGATGTGATCTGTCCTTCAACTTCAACAAACTGGAGGGGAAAAGAGAGAGGTTGAGCGGCCGATGTCCTGCACCTCCCTGTGCTTGGAGAGAGGAGCGCGGCACCGCAGTCAGCCGGTGGGGTCAAGTCCAAGCGTGTGAACCGGCCTTGGGGCTTAGCCTGTGGTCAGGCTGCAGTGGCCCATGCACAGTCCTCCCCGTATTCCACAGCTCGCATTTCTGCTGAGGCTCGTCCTGCCACCACCACGCCTTTTCCTCATCGGTCAAGACTCAGCTCAAGAATGACCGCTCCTTGGAAGCCAATGCTGACCTCTGCCCTGGCACGTGTGTTGGCATAAGTGTGTCAACAAGACAACCTCCACACACTGTGGTCTGGGTCCTCTCTGAAGCCAAGGATAGCGCCCCTCATTTCCAGGCCTCGAGTGCCCAGCTGGGCCAGGCACCTGGGGTTGCTCAAATGGGTGGGTAACGCAGGGCAAGTCTGGGCCTCAGTTTCCCCCATCAGATTCACATGGTGGTTTTTTAACTCTTTGGGGATCGTAAGCCCACAGAGAATTTTGCATGTGTGTGTGCCCACCTACTTGCCCACGTGTGTGAGCTCAACGCAGTCATGATTCCAGGGCTCGTTGGACTCTGGGACCCCATCCCTGGGATCCCAAATGTGTGGTAATGTTCTAGAATGAGTCTCAATCTTTCTAATTCTTCCCATCTTTGCACCTAATAATTTATCTTGGAGACGCATAGCATTATATGGAGAGCTGCCTTGTTTTTTAAATGGCAGCTTAAAACTCCATCCCGTGGACACATGTCGTCAGAGACCTAACCAGTGCCAACAGGTTGCTTCCAGCCTCTGCAGCTACTGACCTGGGCAAGGACTCATCTCTCTTGAGGCTCATGTGCACAAGTAAAACTTCAGGATGAAAGGGCTGTGAGCCTCATTTTACATTTGATGGCCATAGACAAACTGCCCTGCCCACCGACACCCCTCTAAGGCCCATCTGAGTCCTTTAAGTTCTGTTCTTTCATCTGGGAGAGGCTGCTGGGAAGGAATGTTCCTACACGACAACTCCAACCACGTACTCCTCTGGGACGCATGGCGGAGGAGCAGGGAATACAAAGAGGAATAGGTCCCTTTCATGTGCTGAAGGGGCAGGAGAAATAAGTGCCTCTTTGTTGCCAGGGATTCAGGGAAAAGAGGACCAAGAGGCTCTTGAAAGGAGCCCAAATACAAGGCGCTGATTTTTCGACCTCTCATTGATGTGTCCGCTGAAGGGGTTTTGAACCTAAATTACTACCGAATAATAGCAAACCTGCAGCTCAAATGTTAGCCTCCGTAGGAATTTAAAAACAAAGGTTCGCTCTTTTTTTTGAGATGGGAAATTACAGACGGGAAGATCATGGGAGTCAGGGCCAAGACTTGCACAAGCCCCTCTTTTCCAAGTGGCCTGTGTTGCCGGAGAACACCGTCTCCTCACTCCCTCCCCACCAGCCCCTACACCCACTTAATCGCTATGTGACCCTGACTTCTCCAAGCCTCAGTTTCTCCCTCTGTAAAATGGGAGGGCCTTGCCTGCTCAGCAGGGATGCTGAGACAGATGTGAACTCATGAGAGTGCACTGGCAATGGGGTGATGCACTGGTTTTAACACATATCAGGGCCTGAGAGGGGGGACTCCTGGGACGGGGGTCCGGCCCTCGTCTTGTGATGTTTGTTCACAAACTGTGTCCCCTCGGGCAGGCCAGACATCCACAGGCTCCTGCCTCCATGTGGGCGACGTCCCTACTCCTCTCACCAAGACACACTCGGCAGTACGATGGCTCCTAAGCCAGGGAGTGGCCCCCAAATGCTAGAAATTCTGAGAGAGCGTTTCCTGTAATGAGCAAGCGTCAAGCTCCTCCGTCAGCGAGAGACCCCACTAAGGTGGCCTGTGGGTCTCTGCGCTTCCAGGGGTGGCAGCTACTTGGGGAGAACTCACAGGGAAGGCAAGAGGAACAAACTAGCAGGTCTGCGAACAGGCAGCCCAGGTCAAGTCATGGCCTCCGGGGGAGCGCTCATCTCTACGCCTCAGTTTTCCTGGATTCGGACATTGGGCAGATTAAGGAGCTAATGTAGGGGTGGGGGAGGAGCCAGACTGGGGAAAGGAAGGGTGGGGAGTGAGTGTTTAATGAGAACAGAAGTTCCGTCGGGGAGACAAAAAAAATTCTGGAGATGGATGATGGTGATGGTTGCACAATGTGAATGTACTTAATGCCACTGAACTGCACACTTCAAAATGGTGAAGATGAGCAACTTTATGTTCTGTGTATTTTACCACACACACATGCACACAGAAAGCGTGGCATGAAGCCTGGCCCATGTGAGTGCTCTGACCCTGTCAGTGCTGGTGGTGTGTGAGGTGGTCATGTCCCCGAGTTCACAGAGTGCATGGTGCAAAGGAGGGGTGCCAACCTACGCCACTGGACTGGAGACACCAGGCCCCACCCAGCTCCCCAGGCATAAGCCCACCACATTCCTTGCTGGTACAGCAGGCAGGTCATGCAAGGGCTCTCAGCAGAGCTCCACGCTGTAAGCCTCCCTCTGAGGCTGGCTTCGAGAGCTCACTGAGGGTCCCTTAGTGCTTCGGCCACGGTGGGGCGAGCTCAGAGAAAATCTAATGAATAAAACCACCTCCGCTTGCTCAGGAAGCAGTTTCCGTAGCCCAGGAGGCCTATTTTGGGCCCATGGCGATGTCAGGCCTCATCATTTATTAACCTCTCTCTATTTTTGTTTTTTGCTTTCACTCAGAGGTCTGGAAAAAGTTATAAAAGCCATTTGCTTGGGGCCTCCGAAGGCCAAACTCATTAACTAGGGATGATTAATGGAGCCCTCCTGCTGTTTACACAGCTCAAGCCCATCAACAACTGTGGGAGCATTTTGTTTTCAATCCCCCAAATGTTTTCATTCTGTCTTTTCTGCTAATCCTGCTCCCTTGTCTGCCAAATCCTTGGCTCTGTTCTTGACCTTGCTGGTGGACAGCCTCCTCTGCTCTGCGGGACCTTCTAAGACTTTCCTCTGAGTTTCCGGGGACCCGCCCTGGGCACTGGCTTTATGCTGCTGCCCTCGGGGTGGGCGGCAATGCCCTCTCCTGAACTGGCCACACCCCACCTCTCACTGGCTCTCAGATGACCGACAACCTTCATGAGGCAGTCAGACCCCCAGATCACACAGGAGGCTGCAAAATGTCTGCTGTCTGTGACTGCCCTCAGGTGCTGGCCCCTGGGTGGCAGACACCACATGCAAGATTCTAACTAGCCTGGGCACAGGACCAGCCTGCCCCGCACACCACAGCTTCCCACTTCCGGAGTCACACCTGTGCTCTTGAGAAGACCCCTGTGAAAATACACATATCTCCAGGGACAGGTGACCGAGAGCTCATGTTATGCATCCTCCCAGCACCACTGACTGCTCTGCACCAGGCATTGTACCTGGTGCTTCATACAAGGCAATGGAGATACGATCACTCCCATTTACCAGAGGAGGAAAGTGAGGCTCAGAGGAGGAGGAAATGTGCCCACCATCACACAGCAGCTTGGGGGGCTTAGAACTGTGTGACTCCCAAGGCAGATGCAGGCCCTGGCTGGTGCTCACTGAGCACTAGGTGGAGGCCTGAGCCCTGGAGGGAGGGGCTGTGGGGGTTAGGAAGTGCAGGTGGCAGCCTTGGTGCAGTTCTGCCTCAGGAGGGCAGGAGCCAGAACCTCCGGAGGACTGGGTGGTTTGAGGGAGGCTCCCCGAACTCGGCTGTTTAGGAGGCACTGGAGGACCAGGGTCTCACTGTGGGGACCAGCTCCCTGACTCCTGTGCTCCAGGAAGCACAGAAGGGTGTGGTGAGCTTCCGCAGCCCCACTCAGGACCCTCAGTGCTGGCCGGGCAGGGACCACCTGTGCTCTAAGCAGAGACGCTTGCCCCTTCCCTGTATTGCCCTTGTGCCTTATCTACCCTGGGCCCCGCCCTGCCCAGCCTCTCCACGGAGCGCACCGTTTCTGTGCCGGCCTTGCCCTTTTAGTTCCCACCTAGGGCTTTGTTTAACCACACCCTCGGTTGTCCATTTCCCCTTGCTGAGGTCAAAAACTTGAGCTTTGGGGCAGATGTCCTGCTTCTGCGGCCCTGAGAACTTTCCCACTCTGGGTTCCCAGAGGAACCCTTGCTGGCCGAAGGGGTAGCAGGTCTGATGTGAGAGTGGAAAGGGTGTAACCGCCTCACACATGGCAAAGGAGGCTTTTCCAGAACCAGGTTCCCCCTGGGCAGTCCCGCCCTGGGGCCAGCCCCTCCATCGGTACATACCTGGCTATCCAGTCCAAGCAAGAGAAGCATAATAAAAAAGAGAATGGACCAAAAAGTGGGCAGCGGCATCATAGTCACAGCTTTTGGGTAGGCAATGAAGGCCAGGCCGGGACCTAAAGGGAAGAGAAGACGGGGAGGGGCAGAGGGGGAGACACATCAGCACCGAGACCCGCAGCACCAGAGCGCATACAAAGACATGTTGGTCTAAGGCAGGTCTCCCAAACCCAAACGCAGGGAGGAGCCGGCCTGAGGTCCTGCCCGGGAGAGAGACCAGGCCTGTCTCGCTTTGGGTGGGACGCACGTGCGCACAGGCAGGGCCCTGTTTTAGCATCTGTCTCCTAAGCGGCAGCACCAGGGGCCTCCTCACACACCAGCATCCGGGCGGACACTGGCTATTTGGGTGCGAAACGGGGCTGAGCCTGGACTCGCTCTGACAGCTTGGAAAAGGTTCGCCCTCCCCCAACCAGAGCAACCATGCCAACATGTGCTGGAAGGAAGCAAGGGGAGAAGTCCTGGGTACCTGACTCCCAAATCCCCATCTGCAAAGAAAAGGCTTCTACTGAAACACTGTGTGAGTGGAAAGGAAAAAGAACAGGGAACCATGCCCTGCAGGGCCAAGGTCTCCTCGGGGGTGTCTCTGTGCACCCACCTGAGCACCGTCAGAGCCCAGGCCCAGCGCTGAAGGGAGGGAGGGGTGCGTGGGGCAGGCCGCCAGGCCTGGGAGACCCCCGGCCTATATTCAAGTCCTCGTCCCACTGGCTCCTCCATCTGCTCTTTACATCACCACAGGCCCTCTCCGGTACTCAGGTTCCCTCCCAGAGAAGTGAGGGCAGGTTACATAAATGGCTCCCAAGGAGCCGTCCCGTGTTCAGATTCTCAGATGCTGACACTGCTCCCCTCGCAGAGGGCTTCCGGTTTCTAAAGAGGGGACCCCGACGGAATCTGGTGGCAGGGCTTGGGACAGGAGCCCCATCCGCTCAGGGGGTGTCTTTATGACTGGACACGTTCTGAAGACGTGAGAAATGTCTCCGTTTCCAGCCGACCTGAGAGAAGATGCATGGGGAGGAACTGGGTTGTAACTGAGACCTATGGGTCCACGAGACGGGAGAAAAAGTAAAATCCACAACTAAAAAAAAAAAAAAAAGGTCAAGAAAAGAGATGTGAAACAACGAAGAGGGCTGGAGGCAGGATATTTAAGCAGATATCAGAACCACATGAATGGTTTAAGGATGGGAAAAAAACTGTGAAACAAATTGGAGCCAGAAACCACATCCCACAGCATTAAACACAAATGTGGCGTTCAAGGGCGAGCCCTTTTACAATGCAGAGTCCACTCAACTCGAGGAAAACCCGACGCGGACCGAGCGTCCTCAGGCGGCTAGAAAACTAGCACCTAAGAGATGGTGGAAAGGGTGCTCGTACTTAACCCCAAAGCCCAAGTTGGACCAGGAAGCCACGCTCCCACCTAGGCTGGGGCCCTGGGCCCCCCAACACGTCAGCTCTGCGTGAGGAGTCAAGTCCAGGCCACTTTGAGACAGATGTAAAATGGGACCGCCCCCCTCGTCCCCCCACCCTCCGGGGCCTGTGAAGGTTCTCAACGCACTCGTTTCTGTATTTCAGTTTTGCCTTTCTCAAGCCAGCCTCTGGGAGCGGTCCGGGCGCCGCTCTAAAGCGCACGGCGAACTCTAGAGAGAGACGTCCCTGTGAGAGACGGCAGCCGCTCCGAGCGCTCTGCAGGCCCCTGTTGGCGGAGAACGCGCCTCTCTACATTTCATTTGCACTCCGTTCGGCTAAATAATGATCTCGTTCAAATGTACTTGGCTCAATATGGTACTTGTTAAAAGCTTATTAGAGAAATAATCGCCTTGGTGTTCAGACATCACCGTGGGGAGTAAGCGCCAATGTCTCGGAAGTGGACGGGAGGAAGACACCGCTTAGGTCGACAGGGTGTGCACACACATCAGAGGGCCTCGCTGCCCACAGAGCTGTCTCACGTATCGACACGTATCTCCCACTACCAGTTCACTCTGTGCTCCTGGCCATTCCCAACCCATCGAATCGGTTTGCAAGCCCTTGGCCGGGGAGAAAAGCCGTCTGTGAAGGAGGTGGCTACCTCCCTTCACCACTCTGTCAGCTCACGGGTGGTGTGGGTATTTCTGCATTGTCTCAGGCCTGCCTTGGGGGCTTCTCAGGGCAGGAAAATGACAGCTGAAGGTCTGATTTGGAGCCGGGGTCAGTGGAGAAATACATTGGCCTGCACGTGTGGGTGTGAGGATGGGGCAGGGCAGCATCTTTGCAAGTGAGGAGGAAAGCAGGGCCCAGGGGCTCAGAGAGGTCCGGGGAGCCCAGAGTAGTCTTATACAGGAAGGGGCAGAGGTTGTCACGTGTGTGGGGGTGTGGGGGGCAGGGAGGAAGGACACTCTCATATCAGAGGGGCCCTGTCCTAGAGACCCCAGCTCTAACCCTGATGAACCCAAGGCTCTCAGGCTGTTGGTCTCATCTGTGCAGCAGACATCTGACTGCACAATGCTGAGGTACCCTTGACACCCCCCCTGCAACTCGTGTCCTACGGGCAAGGGTGACACCTTGGCAGGGACTCCAGCTGTGCCTGCCACTGGTCTGTGGTGGTCCCTGGTGCCAGGACCTTACACTCTCCTCAGGGCTTGAGGCGCCTCAGCCCAGGGCCCCCGCCAGCCTCCAAGAGGCGCCACAGAGGTCATGAGAAATGAGGAGATCGAGCGAAGCAGAGGGAGGTGTGTAAAATAACAAACCCTGCGGGCCATGGGTGGCCACCCTTCCAGTGGATTGGGCAGGACTGGACAAGGGCAGAGAAGCCAGAGAGGTGGACGTGAGGGTCCTGGGAGCCGAAGCCACTGCAGTTTTAAAGCTGCAGGTCCAGGACTTAGTGCATCATGGCCAGGCCTAGAACTTAGGCACCTGAGATATGGTGGTTCTGAGACTCTAGGATTCTAGCAACTGAGGACCTCATGATTCTCAGATTCCCACACTGTCCTGCTGGAGCCCCAGGATCCCAGCTTAAGATCCCAGGCTGTGAAGTCTGTGTTTCTAGGGGAGTGTCCTGGGAAGCCCAGAGGGTGACAGTGTCCCCACAACACCCCCCCCCAAAATCAGATCTGTCCTGTCCCAGAGGGCAGCCTGCCACGCCCGGTGTCTCTCCCCACCCCAAGCCTACGGTGGTGCCTGACACAGAGTAGAGACTCAATAAATCAATAAACATCAGTGGAATGAATGAATGGGTTTGCTTAGAGGGAGCGCGCTGGGAGCAAAGTGCAAAATACAGAAACCAAAGCTGAGAAGGTGATGATGGAATGCCGATCCGTGGCTGACTTGGGCCTGAGTTAGGAAAGTGGTTTCTGTTTCGGAAACCAGGAGTTTGCTGGGGAAGGAAGGGGAGGGGGGAAGAGCACACGGAAGTAGCTAAATATTTCCCAATGTAACCAAACCCATGTTTCTACCACCCCTTGGGCCAAATCGCAAGGAACATGTTTAAAATTTAGCTTTTGTACTCTTTGGTACTTGGGGGACATCTTGGTGGGGGGGGTCCGTTTTGGAAACCAGGCTCGTCCCCCCCCTCCAAAGCCCCTGGGGGTCTGGCTTCATGCCTGCAGTACTCATCTTACACACTAGGTGGCAGTGCCCACCACCACTGCCACCGATACCACCATACCTGACTCAGCCACATCAGCAATGTCCACCCCTTGCTCTTGTGCCATGAAGCCCAGGATGGAAAAAATTGCGAAGCCAGACACAAAACTGGTACCACTGTTCAGGCATCCCAGCAGCATACAGTCCCTAAGTTACACATATGTCAGGGAGCAAGTTAATTCACAACACAAGGAAGCCACGCTCCCTACTTCTCTTTTTTCTTTAAACATCATCATTTCTAAGGTCCACCAGGCCCGCTGGCACAACACTTGCCTGTACGAGTTGTACTTGTACTTGTTGTAGCTCCCCAGTGAGGTCATGGCTCCCAGGCAGATGGCATAGGAGAAGAATATCTGGGTCCCAGCATCAATCCAGACCTATGGGGGTTAAGGGGGTGGGTGGCAAGGACAGAGAGAAAGAGCCATTAGACCTGTCCTCCTGGAGGAGGCAGTGTGGGTCCCTGGCCACCTGGTCACTGAGGACTGCACCTGAAAATGTGCAGATTCTCAACTGCAATTGGAGTCTCTGTGCTGAAATCCAAGGTGCCTTTCAAGACAACGCTGAGCTGCAAGGAACCCCAGAAGTTGAAGAAACTGGGCTTGTAAAATAGTTGGATCTGGATCCCAACCATGGAATCACTGTGGGCAAGTTAATGTGACTCCCGAAGCCTCAGTTTGCGTATCTGTAAAATGGGCTCCACGGCCCTCCCCACAGAGCTATTTTGCAGGTTCAAAGAACAGTCCAGTACCAGTGGCAGCCTGGTAAGTCAAGTCTGCTGTCATTACTGTAATTGTTATTGTCTGGGGCCCCTGAGTTGGAATGGAGAAGAATCCCCTAATGGTTAATGCAGGCAAAGCTGCTCTCCAGAACGCTCATTAGGCAGTTTTCCTTATGGCTTCAAAGCTGCCTTCCACGCTGTCCTCTGATGCTGGCCACCTTCCTCCCATCTACCTCCCAGGGCAAGAAGAGAGTGGGGAAGAGACCCAGAGCAGCCACCTGAAGGCTGAGGACCCTGGGGACAAAAAGATCCTTCAACAGGCCCATAAAATCTCCCAGGGTTTTCTCCAACCCCGCTGTGGTCACGTGGCTGAGTGCCACGAGGTGAACATTCAGTACTGATCCCTCAGGTTTCTAAGAGGTCACCAACTCTGAATTCCGTCCTTGGCCACGGAAGCCAGCAGCTCTCCCACCCCCACCAGGCAGCCCTCTTGGCTGGTGTAGGCGGAGGCCAGGTCCAAGGAGAGACTAGCTCAGAAAGCCTTCTCTCTCCTCCCTGGCGCAGCGCCTGAAGAAGACTCTATAATTGGCCTGCCTCAGGAGTCCTCGACAAAGATACACACACAGCTGGAAAAGCCCACGGGCGCTGTGAACTGCCTGCCCCCGCCCAGTGGAAAAGTACTAGGGGGTTTGGCTAGATTTGTGCACCCAGCACCACGGCCCGGGAAGGAGGGAGGACGGGCTGTCCTGCAGTACCTGTGGGTCCTTTAGGCGACTGATATCAGGGTACAGGTAGAACTTGATGCCTGCGCCTGCCCCAGGCAGCGTCAGCCCACGAACCAGCAGCACCAGCAGCATAGCAAACGGGAAAGTGGCCGTGAAATAGACAACCTGCAGGGAAAGGAGGGGTTCAGGGGGGGCCTGGGGCACCTCATGCCACTGTTAAATTAGAGCATCTTTTCCGAGGCAGGGATTCTGTGGCCACGCTTGTCATTTCATCTGCTGTGTGACCTTGGGCACATTGCTTAACCTCTCTGGGCCACAGATGCCTCACCTGTAACCTGGGTGTTAGGGACTTACCTCATAGATTTACTGAGAGTCTATTAAAAAAAAAAATCCTGCCCTAACCGGTTTGGCTCAGTGGATAAAGTGTCGGCCTGCGGACTAAAGGGTCCCGGGTTCAATTCCGGTTAAGGGCATGTACCTTGGTTGCGGGCACATCCCCGGGGGGGGGGGGGGGGGGATATGGGAGGCAGCTGATCAATGTTTCTAACTCTCTATCCCTTTCCCTTCCTCTCTGTAAAAAAATCAATAAAAATATATTTTAAAAAATCCTATAAATGTTGACTAAATAATTATATTTGGAAACAGAGTGGTGGACAAGACAGAGAACAAATCCCTGCCCTCACATTCCAAGAGGGTAGAGATAGAAAATGCAAAAGAAGAGTAAACGAACAAGTGTGTATGAAAAAGGCTTTTAGCCCAGGGGTTGGCACATGGCAATTAGTTCATATTAGCTAACATTTACAACTATTAGTATGACTCATGGTTAAGAATCAGAGAAGTGCGGGTTCAAATCCAGCTCTCTCCCCTCACTTGCCATGTGACCTTGGGCATCATGCTTAACCTCTCTGGGCCTGTTACCTCATGTGTCAATTGGAGATAAGAGAAACAGAAGATCATCACCAAGAGGGAGGCGAGGATTCAATAGGATGACGCTTCTGGCATAACCAAGAGTGCCTGGCACTTGGGTCCTCGAGAAATGGGGCCTGTTATTAACCTTATGATTTTGCAGGAAGCACAAGGGAAACCCTGGGAAGGAAACGAGGCCTCTAAGGCCCTTCAGCGAGGATGGGGAAGACCCTCCACTTCCTTGGAGATACGGGAGGCCCACAGCCTTCCCTGAGTCTCATTGCACATCCTAGACAGGCCCAGTCGATGCAAGGTGTGCACCAGAGATGACCCCTCCCCAAGGGCCTGCCCTACGTTCTCTCCTTCTCCTGTCCCGAGAGCACTGGTCTCCAAACATCCTGTGGCCCCGCTTCTAGCAGATTCCCCCATCTTTTTCCTCACAGTGAGGAGACTCCAGGCAGCGTTTATGATGGGAAGGAGCTCAAAGGTGTGTGGCTACATGGACAGTGTGTGGCTGCATTTCCAGCAGGGCATTGGCTGAGCTAGGACTCCCCAAGCACAAGGCCACATCATGCTCACCATGCCCCCCAAATTGATACACCGGCTACCTGTTGACAGGGGGAAACTGAGGCTCAGCAGGGCTCAGAGACTCATTCAGGTCATCTGCAGAGCTCAGGATCTGCACTCAGAGCCCTAAGATTGGGTCACGGAGCCCCCAGCTCCCTCCAAGGGCCTTGGGGGCCTAGAGACAAGGGAGGAACCACCACACAACCAATGCACCTGTTTTACAGGTGAGGAAACTAAGACTGAGGACAGGACGAATGTGCCCTGGTGTTGGGGGCAAGAGTCAGTGCTGGGGTCCAGGAAGGGAACAGACACTGACAGAGGGTGACAGAGCCCCCGGCCTCGCCCGGCTGGCACAGGAACCCCCCACGAAGCTGAATTCTCAGGCAGCAACCATTCTTTTGTGTAAAAACAACCAGAAAGGGGCTTTGGAAAAGGGCAAAAAGGAAGCTCAGGGCCTGTCTGATTCAGCTGTCCGTGGTCAGTGCCACCAGGCAGCATTTATGCAGTGCTTACTGTATGCCTGGCACTATTCCGAGTGTGGCAACTTCTATATGCAGTTGGTCCTGCACGAACCCTTCGAGGTAGGTTTTATTACCAGCCCCACGCTGAAGGCGAGGAAACTGAGGCCCAGGGAGAGTCAGCCCATCTCTTGTCAGGCAGCACTTAAGTGGCAGAGTGGACGCGCCCCCAGAGCCTGCCTCCGGGTGACAACGCAGAGCAGTGAAAAGCCTCCACGCCTGGCAGTTCAGGCCATCCTCCCCAAGGCCCGGGGCAGGGTTAGGGTTAGGTCGAGGGCTTGGGGCAGGCTCACTGCAGGACAAGTCACTGTCCCTCCCTGGCTCCACTGCCCCACCTGTGAAGTGGGGCGCACTCAGACCAGGTGAGCTCTGAGGTTCCCTCCGGGGGGGGGGGGGGGGGGAGGGAGTGGCCGAGGGTGTCAGCTTGGGATCACCCAGACTGGGGTTGGTACCCCCTTTGCCCAGCTGGGCAGCTGGGCCTTACCTCCCAGGTGTCTAGAGGGAGGTGAGAGTGCTTACGGTGCCTAACGCTTGGCATGCAGTCAGCCCTCAAGAAACCTGAGCTGGGAGTACTCTCCTGATGATCCCATAGGGCGGTGGGCATACTCCTGCCTCAGTTTCCCCAGCCACACATACTTTCTTCTCCTGAGGCAGAGAGCCCTACGTCCCAAGGACAAGCAGGCGGAATGGAGGGTGGGAGCAGGGCAGGAAACCCCGAAGGGGTGAAAGAAGAAAACCAGTGCGGCTCCTCCCTTCCTGCACACAGGCCCCTGACCAGTTCCCACCTCTGGCTGCGGTGGGCCACACCCGGTGGACAATAGCTGCTGACAGCAGGCCCTCCCCAGAGGGCGGCTACTTCAAAGCCAGCCGCGCTCCACTGGGCTGGGCATCCAGGCGCGGCCAGAGGGCTTTGTGTCAGGGACACGGGACACCACGGGGGATGGGGTGGCTTCCCTTGTTTTCCTGTATGTAGTTTGTTTAACAAGCACTTAGTAGTTCTTACTGTGTGCCAGGCACTGTGCTGAGAGCTTGATGCGTGCTAACGCCTGCAGTCCTCCCAGCTTGAAAGGTAGGTGCTACTGTGCCCTGCACTTCCCAGATGAGGAGACTGAGGCTTGGAGAGGTCACCCTGGCTGCCTAGGGTGGCAGAGCTGGTGGGTGGCAGAGGCAGGGCCTGTGTCTTGTGTTTGTTAGCATTTTCTCCCAAATCCAGAACAGGACAGCCTCCCCTGCTCACAGCCTCCCCTCGGCTCCTCTTCACAGCCACCCTTGTTTTGCAGACTTTGCCCCTGAGAGCCCTTCTCTCAACTTTTCCGTGACTCCCCCGGGATCCTGGTGGGAGAGGCTGGTGCCAACCGCTGCCAGTTGCCCTCTGGCGATGGCCCAGCAGGCCTTGCCACGGGACATGGTAGTTTTCCACTCTTGCTGGCAAACCTCGGCGGCTCCTCTGAGCCCTCGACCCAAATGCCCTGTGGCCCAATCACCCTGGAAACTTGCAAGGATAGCACTTCCTCGTTCTCCAGTGACCGTGGGGAGAGGGTGGCCCTCGAGGCAGGAGAGAGATGGGCGAGCCTCCTGCTGCCCTGAGCTTCCTTGGGGGTGAAGGCGTGGGCAGGTGGGGCCATGGGCCAGTGCCCAGTGCTGAGGCACCCTGCGTGTTGGGGGCAGGGGGAGAAGGGCATTGCTAACTAATTTCACACAAGGGGAAAATGAAGCTCAGAGAGGGGAAACGGATTTGCCCAGTCATGCTGCTCGTGGGGGGCAGAGCTGAGACCCAAAACTGGGTCTGCTCTGGCTGGCACCCCTGCTTTATTCCTAAGCTCTGGATGGAAGAGCTGCCCTGGAGGCAGCGATGGAGAGGCACAGCCTCAGGCACGTGCACTGTCCCTCCTTTGGGTCCATGGCCTGTACCTCCTGTGCGAGGGTCGGACGCCCGGCACCTTCCTGGACCAGGTGGCTGTGACCCTGGTCTGTGGTCGGGGCTGAGGCCACGGCTGGTGGTAGACGAGGCCGGCAATGGAGCCTCACTCTGCTTTGTCTTGGCTCCTGGGGCTCGCCCAGACCCCGCTATTGTTCTGGGAGTCACGCCTGCCCCTTAGGGGCCTAGGCTGCTAAGGAGGAGGCTGTCTCTAGGGGCAGGCTAGGGGGACCTTTGACAAGTCACGTCTTCAACTGGCCACAGATGCAGCCTGAAACTATTTTTTGCTTTGATTCTATTCTCCTGCCTTGGGGCCAGCGCTCCATAGAAACTTCCTGAAAGACTGACCTCTATGTGGGGTGATGGGGGCAGGGTGAGGAAGGGATTGGCGCTTACTGTGGTCTATGCTAAGCATTGTGCTGGGTGCTGAACACACCTCATTTTAACCTTCTCTACCACCCATTTTCTAGATGAGAACACTGAGGAGCCGAGGTGAGGGAGCAACCTTGGACAAGTCACTTCCCCTCTCCCAGCTCAGTTCCCTCACCGGTTAGAAAGAGGAGGTGAGGAAATGGGCTAACCAGGTGGATGAACTCCAGGGCGCTGTGGGAATAACTTAAGCTGTCCTATTCCTGCCCATCTGGGGGGATGCTGCTAGCGGGTGGGGGGTTGGGGGGGCGCGGTGCTGGGGGAGAGAATTCTGAAGCTTGGCTGGCTTCCTTTCCACATTGGGTTTTAGGATCCCAGGATGGCTCTGTCCTGAGAAGCAGGCAGAGAACACTCATCTGCAACCATGGGCTCCCAGATTTCGCCCTGCTGGAATCTGTTCAGATCCACGATTTTGCCCAAGGGGCTCTTCAGCTGTGTAATTCCAAATTCTGGTGCAGCCAAGGCCCCTTCTCTGAACTTTACCACTGCCCACCGCCGTACCTCAAATGCCACTCTAACATACCCTTTTGACTTGTGGCGGCTTTTGATCTTAGAGATGTTCTCCCTACCAAGATGCAAACGATGGGGGGTGGGGGGCAATGGTAGATGGACACGTAAAGGCAGATCAAGCCAACACCTTCGCTACGGCTTCGTGCCTGGGCTTCAGGCTCGCACCTCTGACCACAACAGACCCTCTGCACTGACATTGTCATTAGAGCGGCCATGACACCGGGCAGATAGCAGGTGACTGCTCAGCTCTGTTAACACAGAACATTTTAGTTATAGGCTAACATGTTCATTATTGCCAAGATATATCTGTGTATACCTAAAATCTTAATTATAAGCTACTGTTTTAATTACCCACCCCCGCCTTTGTTAATAGCTAACATCCTAGTCATCATGTAACGTATTAATCAGCAGCAGCTCAGTTACAGCCAATGTTCTGATAAACAACAACCATCTTAATCATCAGTGAAAGCATTCCTTAAGGAACATCTTAAGTTACCAGCTAAAATGTTCTTGGAAAGGTAATTCAGTTAATTTGACTAAGCAGCAAAAATCAGTGCTTATTGAGCCTCAATGTGCATTTGGATTATGTCAGCTACTGCTCCAGTGCAGGTTCTGAGTTTGTAGGCCCAGGGCAGGCCCCCAGGTTCTGCATATCTAATGAGCTCCGGGGCAGGGGGGGAGGGGGGGGGTTGCTGATGTGCTGCTGGTCAGGGGACTTTGCAAAGCAAGGGTCCATTAAGAACTGGTTATTAACAACAGAGCTGCAGAGAACCTCATTACCAGCTAACTTATCAGTTACAACCTCAACATCAGTTACCCGCTAACATTTGCTCTACTGGGGGAACCAGCGGTGTGTTGGAGCTTGTGCAGGAGGCTGTACTGATGGTTCAATTTGCAGGAATTTCACGAGCTGGATGTTAAACCATCAATAACTTGAAAGCAGATATGGGGGAGTCTTTATACCGTCAGATGAGGGAATGCTACAAACCAGGGCTTTACTTGTTTTTCGAAGACTGGTTTATCAGCCCACACCCTCTCCCAGGTCAGGGCCAGTTTCGGGCAGGAAGGACTATGGGGCGGGAGGTGCTCTCTGGCAAGGGCCACTCTCCATAAGGCAGGGGAGGGAGAGGAGAAGGGACAGGAGCACAACTCACTTTCCCCGTGGACTTGACGCCTTTCCAGATGCAGAAGAAACAGACCAACCACACGAAAAGAAGGCAGAGAGCAAGGTCCCACTTCAGTGAGCCGGGGCTGTTGATTCCAGAAGACAAGCTCAGCACGTTGCGCCTTGAAGCAAACAGAACCGCAAGTCAGTCGGGCCAAGGTCTGGGGTTCAAATCCTAGATCATGTGCTGATTTGCACAAGTCACATCACATGTCCTCTCCAGGCCCTGGAATCCCCGGGAAATAGTTAACACCCTCATCACAGAGTTGTGGGGAAGTCAAGCAGGAGATGAATTCAGACCTCGAAGTCAGGTGAACCTGGGTTCAACCCAGCCTGACCGCGGTCAAGTTAAGCAAACCCCTAAGCCTCAGTTTCCTCATCTGTAAAATGGGTACTGATTCCTATGTGACTGGTTCTCAGCAGACCCTTCTGCACTGGGTTAAAACCCCCAGCTCCACCGTATAATCACTGACTTTAGGCTAATTACCCAACCTCCCAGACCTCAGTCTCATCTATAAAATGGGAGCAGCTACCATCCCCCAGCAGCTGCCCCATGCCTCTTTTATTTTATTTGCCCATTTCTTATCTGGATCTCTCACTAAAATGTAAGCCTCAGGGGGACAGAGTATTCCACCGGTGGCTGCGGAACACCTACCCACCTCCTTGCATGGATTGTTGTTAGGAGAAGCCCACACGAAGTGCTAACTACAGGGCCAGAGTTGCAGCCAGCCCTCGAGAAACCTGAGCTGTTGCTGTCGTGATGCTGAGAGGCCCAGAGCAGCTCCTGGCACCTAAGCAGATTCCCCCTACCCCCAGGGGGTGAAGGTCTCGAAAGGAGGCAGGCAGACCATTTGGAGGACAATCAGCACGGGGCAGCCACCAGCCCTGCCCAGCAGCACACAGCACAGCCTGGATCTTTGCAACCCAAGAACCTCGCTGACGCACACAAGCAACCACTCACTGACACACTCCTAAGGGGCAGGTGCCACCTGAAGCCAGGGCAGGACAGCACAGGGTGCTGATGGCAGAGAAGACCATTCAACTTAATGCCCAGAAATGTCCCCATTGTCCCAGAGCTCTGACTGCTGCAGTACTGACCAAGGGCAGCCACGCTGAGCAAAGGGACATGGGCCCTGCCCACCAGCCCACTGGAGTCACCTGCCCACCAAGTCTCCAGGCCACGGAGCCTGCGAGACAGAGCCCTCATTCCCCCCTGGGAGATGCTGGGTTCCTTCTAATGAAAGTCAGCTCCCTATCCGAAGGCCACTCTTAAGCAGGGGAGGCAGAGAGAGGAGTGTGACTTCGTGCCTCCGTTTCCTCATTTGTAAAACATGAATGGCACCTTCCCAGGATGCCGCTGGGAAAGCCTTCCAGACCACCCCTAGCCTCAGCCAGTTGTGGGATGGCCCCATGGCCATGGCTCTGGGACAGTTTCATTGCTCCTTTTATGTCCCCACAGAAGCTCCAACATGAGGACCTTGAATAAATCCAAAATTCCCGCTCAGCTAACACCCAGGCCAGACCTTTCTGTGCTGTGCCCCCAGCACCTAGAACAGCATGTGGCATATACGAGGGCCTCAACAAACATGTATGGAGTGAATGGAAGGACTTAACTGCGGTGAATGGGAAGTTTGCATGTCACTCTGGACTAATCCACGGAGTATTTCCACGAACAAGCCTTAAGAAGGGGCAGCTTTCCTCTGTGTGCTCCTTGCTGGTCACCTCGACATCAGTGGACCTCCCAGTCTTTCCTACTTATCTCATCTGACCCAGGGCCTAGAGGTCATCTGCTCCCCTTTACAGATGGGAAAGCAAGGCTTGGAGGACCCCACTGCCCACAGACACACAGCCAACAGGGGACAGAGCTGCCACCCCAGATCCAGGCTTGTCTGACTCCCAAAGCCAGTGTCCTCTGGACTCCACCTAACTGTCCCTCTGATTCACAGAGAAAATAGAGCCTAAACTTTCAAAAGAATCTCCCCAGTCCCTGCTACTGGCCGGGGTCACCTGGAACATGGACATCTCCATAAGGCAGGGCTGGCGGCCAACTGCATCCCAGCTGGGGCCCTGCCAAGCACGTGGATCTGGCGGCCGCAGCAGCTTTAGAACAAAAAGCCATTCCCCGGGCAGCCTCCAGAGCTCGGTCCTTCAATGAAGGCCTAGGGCATGCTGGGCAGTGGCCCAAGACTTCCTTGTGAATGGGCAGCGGCGGGGAGAGCACTTTTCCATCTCCACACCGTGGCTCCCTCTCCAATGCCAAGCACACCGTCCGCCTGTTCCCAGAGAGGCCTTCCCTGTGCTCCACAGATGACTAAGCGGGTCCCTGGCTGTCCTTTCACACTGGATGTCCCCCGGGGTGACAAGTCTGGCTTGACTATCAGATTCTAGACGCCCCTAAGACAAGAACCTCACAGACAGGCACACAGTAGATGCTCAGCTAATGCTGAGGAGGTGTCCAGTCATAAGACGGCTTTTTCTTCTCTCCTTAAGGGCAAGTTGGCCAAGAAGCTTGAAACCTGGGAGCCGGAACGCTGACCAAGCCCACAGCCAGTTTACTGACACCTTCCTGTCTCCTCCCACCACCGTCCGGGAAAACCAGAGGTGCCCACCAGGAAGGAGAGGCTCCCACATTGGCTTGCTCTGGGCAATGACCGGCTAGGCAGGCCACAACCAGGAAACCGAGTCATAACTTGCTTTTAACCTTCCTGGTGGCCATCTCCTGGCAGGATCTCGTTGCCTCCAGTGACACCCTAAGGCATGTTTTCTCAGACCCAGCCATTCCGTTCCCAAGAGTCTCTCTCTGTACAGTTTTACTCGCATGTGTGTCCAAAGGCAGGCCCACCCCACAGCACTGTTTATTAAGATAAAAAAAATTGGAAACCACCCAAATGGCCACAATAGGGTCAGAGCAGGCACGAAGCCACTGGAATGCTGTGCAGCCCAGGGGACAGCAGGAAGCCCCTGGGCCCTGACGAGGAGCTCCCTCCTGAGATAAACAGTGAACAAAGCAAGGTGAGGAACAGCGTATGGCCTGTCCCCACGGTGTCCAAAGCGATGACTGTGCCTTGCGCTTGAACACGCACTTTTGCCAGGACATACCAGACGCTGGTTGTGTCGCTGCCGGTGGGGAGGGGTCCCGGTGGAGGGGTTGCGGGGGAAGGGGACTCACGTGGCATCAGATATATTTTTTCATTGTCGGAATGTTTTTAATGTGCACGTTTCACCTTTATACAAATTATTAAACTCTAGAAAATGTTTGTAATGGGCTGTGCAGACATTCTAGGAATGGAATAAATATGTCTCATCAATCAGAGGCTGTCCTAACAGAGCCCGACATGGGCTTGGGCCAAAGTGACTGACATCCTGTCCAAGGATACCTCAAGGGTAGCCGTGGAGGCCGGAATGTGAGTGGGTCTATCTGAATCCCTTTTTGAGAGAATCCAGTTTAAAGGATCCTCCACAAGTCCCTTCCCTATCAGACCCCCATGGCCTCAGCCACAAAGCAGACCAGGACCTGCTGGGCCTTCCCCGTGCTGCGGGGCAGTTCCATGCCCCAGAGGGACTCCCATGGTGCACTGCCCCTCACAGGTGCCCCCTGACCACGCCAGACTGTACAGGTTACCCCAAATCTTGCCACATCTCCCCAACACTGCCTCTCCCGCAACTCGCCCCCCCCCCCCCCCCCCCCCCCCCCCAGCTACCAGGCAGTCTTTCTGCCTCCACTCTCAGTCCCCAGTTTGTTCTCATCGATCTGGCAATACCCGAGTCAGGCTATGCCTCCCCTGCTCTACATCCTCCAGGGCACCTACCCACCTGCCCAATAATACCCTCCCAACCTGCCCTAGTCCTGTTTGCCTCCCCGAATGTTACCAAATACTCTATCATCTATCTAGATCCAGACACCTTATAAAAGGAGGGTGGTGACTACTGATGATAGTGGGACCAAGGTGTAAAGGGGACATATCAGGACAAGCTGTGGGTGGTCCCATCTCGAACCTCATCCCCATATGGCCCCTTCACTTCCTCCTTTAGCCACACTGGCCTCTGGAATGTTCCCAGAATAGGTGGAGCATGCTCTTGTCTCAGGATCTTTGAACTGGCTGTTCCCTCACCCCACCCCCTTCAGGTCTCTGTTTAAATGCCAGGGCAGTCTTTCCTGGCCACCTTATGTAAAAAACATCCCTGGTCGCTCTCCCTCCCCTGCCCTGGCTTTATTCTCCATCATTTATCATCGTGTTTCTATTATAATTTGATTTGTGGTATCTGTTTAATGTCTGTCTGTCCTACTAAAATGACATCTCCACGGAGGCAGGGCCTGTGTCTGTCTGTCTTGATCACTGCTGGATCCAGAATAGTGCCTGGCACATAGTAGGTGCTCAAGACATTAGTTGAGTAAATTAATTATTCCCATTTAATTGATGCAGAAACTGAGGCTCAGAGAGATCCAGGAATTCACCTGAAATTACCCAGACAAGAATCAATCCTGGGCCTATTTTGTTTTCCCTGATGCCACCCTGGGGACCAGCCACCAGTGTGCTGGGTCCTACACTGCCCTTCACGAGGGTCCCCAGCACCCCAAACTTCCCTGCATCTCTCATACAAAGGGAGGAGATACAGAGGTGAGCTGCATTCTTGTCCAAGAATAGTAATGATTCATTCCAGGGTGGGATCCAAAAAAGAATTGCCTGGACGTCTGTTTTGGGTCGGCCAGCCTGCTGCCGTCCAGCCGGCACTCGGAGATGTAAATACGTCCTCCGAGTGGGCCAAATCGTTTCCTTTTGACTGCCGGCCAGCCATTTATTGGCGATGGCTCTTCCCTGGAGACTGATGGAAGCAACAATTACAAAAGAGCCCGTCCGCCCTACGCATGGGGCCACACAAGGCTTTCTCCCCCGCCTCCCCCTCCTCACAGCTGCAGGGGAAGATTGGCCGAGCAGGGCTTGTTTGCAAATATGACTCATTTCTTTGATTCTAATAAAGTCTAATGATACGTGCTAAGCTCCCAGAGGACTCTGGAGGAGCCGGGGAGGAAGGCATGGCTCCAGCCTGATGAAGGGCATTTGGCTAGACCTGGCCCCGCCTGTCTTCCAGGACTGGGGGGGAAGCAGGACCCTGAGGACAGAGGTGAGCCCAGAGCAGGGGTGAGCAGGATGAAGCTGACGGGGGAGGGGGGGAGCTCTGCTCCCCCAGCACACAGGGACTCAGAGTTCAATTACAAAGCCAGGGGTAATGACTGTCGCGGGGGCCAGGTGGCTTGCACAGGGACTTGGTAAAGGGCATCCCACTGGCTCCTGCTGAGCATGGCGCTGTAGCATTGCAGATGGGGTGGGTGGGCATGGGGGATCCGGGCCAAGAGAACACACCATGCATAACCTCAGAGTGGGGACACACACACACCCGGCTCAGTGTTACCTGTGGACACACACCCGGCTCAGTGTTACCTGTGGACTAACAGCTGATGGACACAGACACTGGAGGTGGCATCCAGCGTCTGAGGTCAGAGCTGGGAACTCTAGCTGCAGAGTTGCCTTTGGCCAGTTGCTCAGCCTCCCTGGTCCTCAGTGTCCTATCTAAGAAACCATGCCCAGAGCCCTGTCTTAGCTTCTTTAACACTCCAGTCTGGCTGTGAGGTCTGGGACCACGCTAACTCTGAGGTTTGGACAGGTGACTGCCCCGAAGACCTGCAGCTGGGACATGTGGGAGTCGCAGTCCGTCTCCCCACTGCTCTCTCCTCTCTCCTCTAGTAACACTGGATGGGGCAGGGATGATCGACAAGGTCCCTCTGTCCAGGGCCCGGAGGAAGTATCAGGTCCCACGGTGACTTGTTATCTGGATTCCCGGGGAGCTCCTGAGCACCCGGCAGGAATCGTTTGCCCAAGGAACAGACAGCTCAGGGACCCATGCAGCTGGGGCTGGTCAGAGGAGTGAAGGGAAACAATGGCTGGGATTGGGCTTCACCTCAAGGGGCATGGACTCCAGCCTCCGAGAGAGAGCCTCACTGTTCTGCAACCCAACAGCAGTCCCAGCCAGTGACACCTCAATAAAGCCCAGCAAGCCTTTCTCAACGAAAACCCCGAGGCTAGTCATTATGGAGCTGGTGGCTATTTTCAGGGGAAATCACACATGTTAAATTTCACCCCAAAGCCCCCTGAGACCCTGCATACAGTCAGTGCTTAATACACGTCTCAGCTTTTCTCCCCATAGTGTGTTGCTTAAGCAACGTCCAGAAAACACAGATTCAAACTTAGTCTAACATTCAAGGCTTCAATCCTTCTCCCTGGCTCCATGCGTCCTATGCTCTGGCCCAACCAATGACTTGCTGTTCCCAAAACAGCCACGTGCTTTCCTTCTGCCGAAATGTCTTTTCTCCTTTTCAGCCTAGTGAGCTTCTACCCATCCCTCAAAGCCCAGCTCAGATAGCCATTTGCAGATGGGAAATGAGGCCAGAGAGGGGTAGAGACGTGCTGCCCCAGGCTACAATCAAGTGGATGCAGATGTGCAATTAGTAAGAACCAGCCGTCAGTGAGCACTTACTGTGTTGAAACATTTAAAACCCTCTCTGGCTGGGGGAGAGCACCGTGTGCGAAAGGCCACGAGAGGACTCCGAGCTGAGAAATGACATATCTAGATTCACAACTGACTGCAGAGATGCAAGGGCAAGGCAGGGACCGCAGTGAGAGGCCAGTGCTGGGGTTGGAGAGAGTGATCATGGGGGAGGGAGAAGGGCTGCAGTGTAAGTGGGGAGGGTGGTCAGACTCTGAATGTACTTTCACGGGAGATCCAAGAGGACCTGTGAGTTAATGTGGGATTTGAGGCAGAAAGCGGTTTGCGAATTATCCCATTTAGAGGGCCTCCGCAAAGAGGAAAGGAAGGTGGGGGCAAGTCCCTGGCACGATGCTCATGGGAGTCAATCATTCCCCATTAGTGCTCTCTCCCCTCTTTCACGACCAAGAGAATGGAAGGCTCTTGAAGGCAGGCAGCCAGGCCCTTCTCATCCACTGTGCCTGACTCAGGGCAGCACTGATGGAGCCCCCGGCCCCGCTCACTGGCCTCGGCCTCTGCTCACACAGGAGCAGGCTGGGTCCTCACGCTTAAACCTGCTTTCTAGGCTCCTCCTCTGTGGACTCCAGTCCTCCTGTGTTCTAGAAAGAGGGCATGTTGTTTACGGATGCGCAGGGGGGCTTACAGAGCTCTGCTGGAACCAGGAGGAGCGGGTGCGAAGGCTGGAGCGGGAAGGGGGCATCAGGCAGGTGGCCAGAACAGCCTGACTGAGCATGTCCTGTGGGGCGTGGGAAGGTGCCTGCGGGACCAGGACATTTGCATAGATGAACACTGTCAGGAAGGGGAGCTGGGGCACTCAGAATGGAGACTCTGGGAGGCAAGAGACCTAGAAACCCCTGGGAGGGCCCAGTCTGGGGGGCAGGCAGGGGAGAAAGGATGGGTGAGGACTGGAAACCCTGAGGACTTCATCGCCCACGTGAGCATCTTCGCAAGAACCCTCAGGTTTATAGCGGCAGGGAGGTAAGCGAAGAGGAACCCCTTTGAAATATGGGGGACAATACGGGCATTTGAGAGGGGCCATTCTTAGTCCTTCTGAAAGCTGTCTCACTTAGAATTCCAAATGCCCCCAAAGGAGCAGTTCTATCCCCTATGAGGACACTAAATAAATGACAATGGCCCATATTTATCATGCATGTTGTCATGGTCTCAAGTTAGGGTGAACGGCCATCCCTAGGAGGGCAGTGCTATAATCTCTCCAGGTATAGGTGAGAACATGAAGGTCCAGACAGGCCAAGGTGCCTGGCCAGGCTAGAAGCGGCAGAGCTGGGGTTGGAGCCCAGGCAGCCAATCTGTGCCTGAGGCAATGAGGTCCCAGCAGGCGCCCAAGTGGCTGGTTGAGTGCCACGTCCTGGGTGGGGCAGGCCCTGGGTGATCGGCTATGCCAGGAACTGCAGAGAGCGGACAGGGCTGTGGTCTCGGGCCCCATTCAAGTGAGAAGAATGAAGTGCAGCGTTTCTTTGTAAACTCAGCTCTCCCGGGGGTGGGAGCCGAGGGGGTGATGAATGTGCTTGTAATGCCCTCTTTGTCTGCAAGTGGAAAATATGTGTGCATAAAGAGCCCCAGGGACGGGGGCATATACTGAAAGGCCCACGTGTCATGACAGGGAGGTGCAGCACCCGAGGAAGGACTGACTAACCTTGCCTATTATTTCCCAGCCCCGGCCCCAAAGTATGCCTGGGACCAACCAACAGGCAACTCCCTCTTCTGTTCCCGGGCCAGGTTCTAAGAGGTGGGCAGCCACACACAAAAGAGAGGGAGTATCATCTCGTGATGATTAGGGTCCACCTGCTTCCTTAACAGCATTCCCTGCTCCTGGCTCTCACGCTTCCTGCAAGGCCTTATCTCAGCTATTTCCAGATAGAGGGGGGCCGCACCCAAGTGCTGAGCCCCACATTTAATTGCTGGTGAAGAGCGATGCACGAATATATTTTTAATTGGCCTTCAAGGAATGTCTTAGGAGAACTTTCCTATATATCAGCTAAGAGGTACCCAAACGTCAAGCCCCTTCACATTCTGCCTTTCTGATGTGTGTCCTACGTGTGTTCTCTTATTGACAACCGTGTGGTAAACTGGAGACGTGCCCATAATTCTCCACTCCTCTCATAAAGAGGCAGAACCTATTTCTCCACTTCTTGCTTGACTCTGTGGCTTTCTTTGGCCAATGGGACATTAACAAACATGATACAGGCAGAGGCTTAAAGAGTGCTCCTGCGATGCAACTTCCCCATTGGCTACTTTGCAATGAAGAGCAGCCTCTGACGACGCTCAGGTAGCCTGCTGGGGGGTGAGACCATATGGACCCTGGCAGCCAATGCCCAGAAGAGCTACCCTGACGCTGATCTACCCATGAGGGAGCCCAGCAAAGACCAGAAAAACCTCCCAGCCAAGCTCAGCCCAAAGTGCTAATCAGCAAAACCTTGAGCCAAATAAATGGTTGTGGCTTAAAGCCACTGCATTGGGGATGATTGTTACACAGCAAAAGGTAACTAACACATAATTTTTATTCTCTCTACTCACCTTTTAACTTGACTAACTACTACTTCAGCTTCATATATGAATTTTTCTCTGTGCAATAATAGTTTTGATATGCTAACTATGTTTCTTCTAAAATACATTAAGAAAACTATTACTTTCAGGCAATATAAGTACAAATACCTGCCTTTGGGGGAAAAATTCCTCATAGAGATCCCATGGGTGTTGGAATGATTCATTCCCCTCATTTGACAGTTAAAGAAACTGAGGCTCAGAAAGGGGCAGAGACTTGCTGAAGGTCAGACAGCCAGTAAAATGGCAGAACCGGGACACGCTTCCAGGCCTGTCTGAGACCAAAGGCATGGATTTATCTCCAAATCTGTACCCAACTTCTCCCCGATCCCATCCCAAGACACTGACTCCTACATCGCAGGGGAGAAGATGAAGGAGTGGGCTGTCCTCTCTGCCCCCACCCAGGCCCTCCCTCCTTCCTTAGTGAAGCTGGCCTTACTCCCAGAATTCGGTGACAGGGGAGGTGAAGTTGCTGGTGTTGAGAGTGAGCCACAGGCTCTTGTTCTTGCGCATCGTGTCCTCCATGCAGTAGGGTGTGTTCCAGGTATGGTTGCAGTGCGCCCAGGGCAGCTCCGACTGGAAGGACTGGAACAGGTAGTAGGTGGCCCAGGCCAAGATGATGATGTAGTATACATTCAGGAGGGACACGATCACAATGGAGGCGTAGCCGATGCCTGTGGGTGTGGACAAGCAGGATAAGCATCAGCAGGAAGGCCAGACCCCTTCCTGTCAAATGGAAGGCCTTGGCACCCCCAGGGGGCCTTCAACAGTGACCAGCAAATATTTGTGGGCTGGTTAAATGGGATCCTTGGACGAATTGAAGAATGCATGCAGGTGGATAGGCCAACGAATGGATGGTTAGATGGATCAATGGTTAGACGTGTGGTTAAATGGACCAATAGAGAGTCGAATGGGGAGATGCTGGATTGATGGATGGAAATTTGATTTGTTGGATGGATGCATGGCTGGGGACTGGCTGGAAGGTTATGTAGATGAGTAGATGGATGAATGAGTAGATGGGTAGATAGGTGATGGGTAGACAAGGGGATGGATAATCTAACTAAATTAACTAGTTAATGACGAAAGGTTTGATGGATCATATATGGATAGATTTATATGGATGACTAAGTTGACATACATCCTCCCATCTTTTCCAATTATAATTGTAACAGTGTTATCTTATGAATGCATACTAGGCACTAGACAAAGGACTAAATGTTATAATAATAAAGCTACCATTAATTTGGGGCTTACTATGTGGACAAAGCATTTTTACGTAACTATTAGTAGCAGTAACCCTATGAAGAAGGCATATCGTTTCCATTTTGTAGATGAAGAGATTGAGACACAAAACGATTAATGAACTTTCCCAAAGTCACAAGAGTTAGCAAGAGGAGGAGGGAACCGAACCCAGACAGCAAGGCCCCTGAATCCGAGTGCTTATCTTCTGCACTGCACTGCTAAGCAGGTACTAGCTTCTCTAACCTTCAACAACCCAGAGAGGTGGGAACAGCCAGCACGTACTGAGCAGTCACTGCGAGCAGCGCCGCCCGTACCATGCACTGGCTGCTACCCTGTGTTAGGCACAGCGCCAAGGGACTTGCATGAGGCTTTGATGTACCTGGCAAACAGCAGGTGCTCAATAATAAATTTGCTGAACCGATGAACACCAGGCCCCGGGTGACCGTTATCCCATACTCACCAGAGAACAAGGGGCAGATCTTTTCCCAGCAGGTGATGCCCCCTTCAGAGGTGTACTGGCCTATGATTACCTCCAGGAAAAACACAGGCAGGCCGCCCCCAAACAGGAAAATAAAATACGGTATGAGAAATGCACCTGTGGAGAGAGCAGAGTGGGGTGAGGGTCAGACTGGGCTGTCACAGGTGCTTGCTCCAAAGCCCTCCCAGCCAATGGAACCAGAGAGAACAAGTGAGGGACGTGAGGGTACAGGCTAAACCCTTGGGCGTGGTTGAAAATTCTGCAGATCCTGCCCAGCAGGCATCACCTTTCAGTGTGCCCTCTCACCTTCTTCAAATCTACCAGGTGCTTTCAGCCTCGGGGCCTCCAGTTAAGCTGTGCCGACTGCCGCCTGCCTTCCCCACATCCTCCATCTGAATAAGCACGGCTCAGCCCTTAGGACCCATCTCAAATAGGACCTCCTTGTTGAAGCCTTCACCTGCCTGTTCCCAGACCTACCCAGGGCAGGAAGCTGAGACAGACTAGCTAAGAAGGGTACAGTGATGAGAAGCAAGAGGTGGGTACCTCCAGCTGGGGTGGGAGCCAGGGCAGGAGTGAGGGGCAAGGAGTCGGGGCGAGGGTTCCTACCTGGTGTCCACTAATGGCTTCAGCGGGTCCATAAACCCTTTGAAACTGTGGGCAACTTGGGTCTATGTGTATGCGCTTTGCTCTGGGGAGCGTCTAGGACACTCATCAGAGTCCCAAAGGCGCCTGAGACCTACAAAAGGTTAAGAAACCAGACTCTAAGGCAGAATTTCCCGGAAGGTAGTTCTCCTAACGCAGGCTGCAGGCAGCATGCCCATCTCTGCTGATGGGTAAGCCTTCAATTACGGGCAGTTCTCCCTACCCAGTTCTCATCAGGCTGCTCTCACTGCACAGCCAGAAAGCCCCCAGTATGTCAGCACGTGCTGCCGACCTGGACACTCCGACAGGAGAGGACTCTAGCTCAGAGCCTTCAGGTTAAAAAAACAAAACCCCCAAATCCGCCGTAGCTTGGTTTTCTCAGTGGTTAGAACATGGGCCCACAGACTGAAAGGTCACAGGTTCGATTCTGGTCGAGGGCACATACTTCGATTGCAGGCTCGATCCCCAGCCCTGGTCAGGGCACGTGCTGGAGGCAACCAATTGATGTGTCTCTCTCACATCAATGTTTCTCTCTCTGTCTCTTTCCCTCCCTTCCACTCTCTCTAAAAAAATCAATGGGAAAAAAAATATCCGCAAGTGAGGATTATAAAAAACAAACAAAAAAGCCCCAAAACGTTAAACTGGAACCAACCAGAGACCTTACATTTAAAAAATATCTTCAATGAGTAAAAGTGTTAAAAAGGTACAAGTACCCAGTATAAGATAAATAAGTTTGGGGGGGGGGGGGGAATGCACAGCATGGTGACTACAGTTAATAATACTGGGCTAAACTTGAAAGTTGCTAAGAGAGGAATTTTCAAAGTTCTCATGACAAGAAAAAAAATGTATAACTGAGGTGACATATGCTAACTAAACTTATTGTGATCATTTAGCAATATATACATACATCAAATCATGTTTACAACTGAAACTATTACAAGGTTATGCGTCAATTATATCTCAATAAAACTGGAAAAAACTTTTTAATTAAAAAATAAAAATAAAAAATATCTTCACTGTATTTTTTTTTCCTGGATACCTTTCCATTATGGCAAATGATACTGGTTTTCCATTTATGGGGGAAATGAAGCTTGCTTTTGAACTATGTTTGGTTTAAGTTAGAAAAGCCAAAGTAAATATTAGAAAAGATATAATGTAAGGAGCTGGGAGGCATGAAGATAAGAGGGAATTTATGAAGGGAGCATGTGAGTGTCGGAGGTCTGGGGACAGGGGCATGGCCTCATCACTCCTCTTCAGAGATGGCAAACGGAAGGATCGCAGTGGGTAAGGGGTCTTCTCAAGGTAACACAGTAAGACCCTGACAGAACACCAGCTGATTCCCAGGCTTGCTCCTCTCCTGCCTCTGAGGTGGGGAGGGTGCAGCAGGCTGACTGAGGGAGGTCATGATGGGGACTAGGGAGAGCAGGTCACATGAGGCTACCCCCTTCTCTCTGCCCAGCCTAGACTCACCTCCACCATTTTTGTAGCAGAGGTATGGAAAACGCCAGACATTGCCCAAACCGACGAAGCCACCAGCCACGGAGAGCACAAAGTCGATCTTGCTGGACCACTTCTCCCTCTGCGGGGGCTTCCCCTCAGCCTCGTCCTCGGGCCGCGTGCCCGGGCTCTTCCCGGGGGACGGCTTCAGGATGTCCTTGTGAAAGTCTTTCAGACACTGCAGCTTCTCCTTGGTGGCCATCTCCTCCTCGATTTCTGTGGGGACAAAACAGAACCCCATGTGCGGTTGGTAAATAGCCTGTGTGTCTTCAACACGACCTCTCCCTTCTCACCCATGGGCTGGCTCTGACCTGCCCAGACCTGTGGCAGGGGGCCTGCCATCCCCTTGACCGTCCACTGATATAACCATGTTCAGAGCGAGTCAGATCCCTCTAGGCAAGCAGAGACCTAATGATTCAGAAATTGACAGATTCCTTCTCTTGAGCAACTGCTGAGAGAAGCACTGGGGACCCATGCTTGCTGTCCTTGAATGTCATACCTCATCCTGCATGAAGCCACCCCTGGCCTGGCATCACCTCTGCTAAATATGACACACCCAGGCACCTCTAAGGCACCGCCAAATAACACCTGCCTGAATTTTCTAGAAATGGATACTATTTCTCAATTTCGGATTTGCGTAGGAAACGACGGCTTCCATTTCACTCATGAGCCAGCACAGTGCCTGGCGCACGGGAGAGGCCTGCGCCTAACTGTTTAAGGAATGGATAAACACCGAATGAATGAGGAATGGGGTTTCAGCCTGGAATGGAAACAATATTTGAAAATGGGGTTTCCATCAAAGTATGGAGAATGGATGTTTATGAAAGATATTTGCAATTAACCAGCCACATCCCTACAGCATAAAAAAGCAGGGATTTGCCCTGGTGAGGATTATGTAAGAAAGCCAGTTAATCTCCCTGGTTCACCGCTCTCCATCCGTTCTCTGGCTTGCCCCGACCCCTGTGTCATCCAGGTCCCCTGTCCTCGGACTCCTGATAGGTTTGGCAATGGAAGGTCCCAGAGGAGGTCAAATCCCTAAGCCTCCAGGAGCTGCTTGTGGCCACTCTCAGCCCACCCACTGCCTGGACCCCATTCTAGAGGACATCTGCCTCCAGCCAGGGTGGAGCCTCTTCTTTCGGTACCTCCTCGTCTGGAGTTCTCACTCTCCCCGGTAGCTCAGCCTTGAGGGCAAGAGTATCATGAGTCCCAGCCTGGGGAGAGAGGGTGCCTTCAAGGGTTTACCCCTCTGTGGCAGAGCACCACAGAAGACATGCACTGGAGGACCAGCACCAGCGGGCCTGCCCACCCCTCTCTGAGCCTGTTTCTCCACCTGCAGAATGAAAAGGATAATGGCAAAGGCAACCGGCTCGGAGCCAAGCAGCCTGGGCCACAACTTGTCTTCATGATTCAAATTGGTGGCCAACACTGAAAATATCAGATTTCAGAGAAAAGTCAAGATTTCTAGGTTCTCGTGAAAAACTGGAAGCTCGGACCATGTTTAGCTCACACTCCTTTTGGCAACCATCAGCAGGAAAAGGTGTGGCCCCCTCACATGGGCACCCCTGGGCCAGCTCACCAAGCTCACAGGACATCTTCAGTGGGCATCTCAGCCTGTCTTGTCAAACTGCTTGGCACTACCTGAAAATGTCTTGACTCATGTCCTTGCTTCCTTGTTAACTGCCTCCTCCTCAACTAGAGTTGTGCCTCCATAGGGACAAGGACCCATCTGCCCAGAGCCGGTCGTCAAACAAGGACTGTGGGGTAGATGGTTCCCAGAGTGGGATCTGCAAGCAGTTGGTACTAAGTGTGAACTCCAGCTCGGCCACTTCCCAAGCACTGGTCTCAGCAAGTCACCGGGCCTCAGAGACTTGCATTCCATGCTGCTTGGCCCAGAAAGCCATCCAAGGCAGAGCAAGGTGGAGGCGGGGCTGCCCGAGGACCTGGGTGTGTAGAGGGGACGTGTTGGCCTGGCACCAGAAGCTAGGCCCACAGGGGCCGTGCTCTGAGGAGCAGAGGCACAAAAGCATAACAGAACCTCTGTTTCCCCCACACCTCCTTCCTCTCCCTGGCTCGGGGGGGGGGACCCCAATTGTTTTGCTATCTGGTGGTGAGCAGACCAAGAAAAGGCTTCCTGGAGCCGCCGGGTGGCTCGCTGAGCCCTTCCTCTGTCTCCCAGAGCACAGACTGGTGGCGGCATCCGCATGGCCTTTCTTTGCCCTGCTCCCTCGGGGCGACGCGGGGGTTCAGCCGGGCGTATGGCTACTGTAAAAATAGCCTGAGCAGCCAGCATTGTTCCAGTGTTAATTTGTGCAACCCCCGATGGTTATCTGAGCGACCCATTGTGGGCTGGCTGGATGGGAGCATAATTGGAGGATGTGGGACTCAACTCCCTCCTAGTGAAGATGTTTTTCAAGGAATGACCCCTGAGCCTCCAAGAAAGGTTGGTTCCGCCCTCTTGGACTCTCCTTGGATCTCAGAGCTGGAAGGCACTTCACAAGGTCAGCCAGATGGAGGGGGCAGTGGCCAGCTTCTGCTCACATAGGCAGCTGAGACTGACAAAGCTCTTTCCTACTGGGAGCTGGGGTCAGCTTCCCATGGCTACCCTGAGGGTCCTGGCTCTGTCCTCAGGGCCCAGACCCACTTGCTACACTGGCACTCAGAGCACCCTCTAGAAACATGGGGTAGCAACAAGTTCCCTGAGACCTTCTCTGCTCCAGGCTCTGGTTTCCTACAAGGGTAGGCCTCCAGGCCCCTCTCCACACTCAGGACCGTATCTTTCCAACCCCCATGGGTGAGCCTGGATGGGGGTAGGGCCTCAATGGGGCAGAGCTGGGGCCTGTCATGTGCCTGGTGTGGTGGTGGCTTCCCTGATGCTCATTCCCAGGGTGCATCCCGAGATGTGTTCCTCCTTCACCATCACCTGTCCCACCTGTGGCTGCTGCAATCACCTGCCCTTCGAGAACACAAGGCCAACAGCCCTGCCTCTGGCTCCCTCAGGCCAAGCCATCCGCCATGACTTCACCCAATGCTCACTCATGCCTGCAGCAGGACACACCCAGGTGCAGACAGCCAAACACCTTTCATGGGGCTCATTCCAAGCCCCTCTGAGGTGTCTGACCAGCCTGGTGCCTATAGAAAGCCCACAGCAGCAAGATGGTTGATTCTGCCTCTCATACATTCTTGGCATCCACCTACTTCTCTCCATCACCATGGCAACCACCATGCTCCAGGCCCCAATAGTCCTTGTAGGGCATGGAAGTCAGCCTCCTCACAGGCCTGCCTGATGATAATCTGCCCCCCTCCCCCCCCAATCTATTCTCAACACTGCAGCTAAAGGCAACTTGTGAAGTACGCTCAGATCACAATGCCCTCCCACCCAACCCTCCACCATTCCTCCAAGGAAACACCAGCTCCTCCCCAAGGTCTACTGGGGCTCCCAGTTCAGGCCCCTTCTCCTGGGGACACTCGCCCCACAGAACATCTTTAGTTCATCCCCCTCAGGCTGACCCCTTGCATGGATGCTCCAGGCCCTCTAGTGATAGCCTGGCCCCTGCAGGAATCAAAGCGGGAGCTCTGGCCTAGAAGCTGACAGTCACTTCTTGTCTGGGTGACCTCAGGCAAGTTTTTCAACCTCTCCGGTCCTCAGTGTCCTTATCTGTAAAGTGGGGGTAACAGTACTCACCTCTCGGGGATGCTGTGAGGACTGAATAAGAGAGGTGCACAGAAAGTGCTTACAGCAGTCCATGGCATGTGGCAAGGCCTCCTTAAATAGTAGCTGCTAGTATTACTGTTGTTAGTACTGCTATAATTATTATCAGGTCCAACCTGACCTTGGGGTCAGTCCTACTCAGGGTGAAATCAGCAAAGCTCAGAGAGGCCAAGTGACACTCCCAAGGTCATAAAACTAGTTGTGACAGTGATCATCACGAGCCCAAATTCTTGGCTCTGCTTCTGCTGTCCCTCTGCCAGCCCAGCCTGGTCTCAGCTGACACTCAGTGAAGTCCACTAATTCTCCATCACCCCCCAGCCCACCCCGTGACTCAGCAGGTAGGAACGGGCTCCCTCCACAGGTGTCCCAGCAGGCTCTGCCGTGCTGGCTGGTGGCGAGAGCTATTTTCATTGGCGCCAGGCCCATGGCTATTTTGTAGCTAAGGTGATACATAATTCCCCATTTTAAGAGCTTCCTCTTTGATTATTACAGCTATAGGCAATTAGAGCGGGCTCTGATACAGAGGCTCCAAGATGAAGGCTCCCTCCTCACCCAGCCGAAAGCTCCTTGTCTCTGTTCCAGGGGCTGCAGCCAGAACTGGCTGTGCCCTTAGGCTGATATGAGGATCACCTGGCCAGCGTTGGCATGTATTTGGACTGATTCAACCTGGTGGCAGTGACACTGGATTTAGAAGAGGTTCCTTGGCTCCCCCTGATTGAAAACTACAGGGACTTACTCTGTGTTGAGCTGACTGAAAACAGTTTTCTATTCTCTCTTCAAAGACCCTTTAGTGTAGAGGGGCTTTTGATTTCATAGATGGGGAAGCGGAGGCTCAAACAGGGAAGGGGATTCAAGCCAGAATCCCCACCTTGGTCTGGAGCAAAGCTCAGAGAGGAGGAGGCCTCTGCACTATTTGCAGATGGGGACACTGAGGCAGAGGTACCGAGGGAGCGCAGAGCAGGGCTGGGGACTGGACGTCCTGCCTGCCTCCAGTGCCCTCCCAACCCCTCTGGCCCCAGGTGCCACGGGCCAGCTACCTGGGCCTTGAATTGAGTTGCAGATGCGGCCGTGGCCGTCTGCTCCGGCATCTGCCACCTGAATCCAAGGATTTGGGAAAAGCCCCCCTGCAGAGCCTGAACCTTCTCGAGTGAACAGCTCCCCAGAACAATGACTTACATCTATCACTGTCACTGATTTAACCACTCAGGAGCTTCTACCATGGGTTTTAAATAAGAGGACAGGTACTTTTTCTGTTTCCTCTTTGGATTACTCCCCCGCCCCCCCCCTCTCCCGCCCCACTCACACACACTCCAAAAGGGCCTACCACGTGGCTGGCCTCTAAGACCAAATGAACAGTTGCTATTTCTCAGCAAACCTCTGGGGGTTAGGCAAGCAGCTCCCAGCACCCCAGAACTGGGGAAAGAGGACACCTGGATGACAGACTCATTTTACAAGTGGGAAAACCCGAGGCCTGAGTAGCCCCCTGCCTGTTGGGCTCTAGAAGGAA